AATTATTTAAATCTCAGTATTGCAAAACTCTTTTAAGTTTAAAAAGTCAGTTTATTTATATTTCAGTTCATTTTAGCAGTCTGCAGACGTTAAAAAACAAACACTTTTCTTCTTGCAGACTGCAGACTTTTGGTCCACCTCTTCTGCTGCAGATGCCTGCAGATGTGGTCCGCAAACTGTAAACCTTTTACCTCTGTAAAAACAAACACCACCATAGTGTTCTACCCTCCAAAATTAGAGGTTTTTTGTTTGAAGAAAAAATAAATAAAGATTTAAGAGTTGATTGATTAAATTAGAAATTAACTTTTTTATCCACATCATCGGTCTAATAGTTCAAACATAATACAGCAACCAATAACGTAAATGATCAAAGTATTATTATTTAAAAAAAAATGTCAAAATAAAATCAACCGGAAAAAGGGACCATTCATATAATTTACCCTAAATATTTCAAATTCGCATCGAAGCTCAAACTTTACCCTATTTCAGCGCAGTCGCGGAGAGATATCCCTTGAACCCACATTTGCCGTAATGGCAAGTCCAAAGTCACTTGAACTAAATTTGAGCTTTTGTTTTCGGTTCCCATTATTCAATATTATTCAGCTTTTGTTTCAGTTTCAGCATCCTTTCCCGTTATTTCAGGCGCAAAATTTGCACCCCCTGAATTTGTAGTTAGTTTTCTCTAATCTTTTAACTGTTTATATATTTCTGCAATGATTTCTTTCTTATTAAAATACTAGTACTATTTTAAGGACTGCAGTAGTTATTGGAGCTTAAAAATGGGCAAACTTTGTAATCCTCGTTTGATTAATGGTGATACTTGGATGAACTTCCATCTTCGAGAAGTCATCCGCTCTTCGAAAGCAATTTTTGTTCATTAACTTGCATTTTTTTGGGGATATATATTATTTGTTGTAAATGTATATGGTCCATAGTGTGAGAGCTATGGGGATGAATTTTAATGTAGGATGGAGAGTTGGGTTTTAGAATTTGATGGATGCCCCAATGTTACTATCTTCGAGTCTCGGTGAAGAAGAGCTCGAAATTGCGTGTCCTCATAACAATTTGTGTGTCCATTTGATCTCTTTGCCTCTGGGATGATGCTTCATTAGCCAAATCAGACATTTTTTATGTGTTCCTTAAGGCATCCACCACAAAGCTATTTGTTGGATGGGATGCCTTTCGTTGAAGCGCATCCTCTGATGATACCCTCGGGATTGGTTTCATGTCTGACCAGAGTAGTTTTCCTTTATCTACCCTTTATTATGTGATTCGTTATATCTGTCTCTGTTCCCCAAAGGTTACTTGGGGACCGAAATCATCTATATCATAGAGATTATCTACCTTCGAGATTGACTGATGGTTCCTTATTCAACAAGTGGGAATTGTTCAGCACATAATGCTGTAAGTTAAATTTCTGCTGCTCGTTTAGTGTATGAATGGTTCCCTTGCTCTCCAAGAGTTGGCTAAATAGTGTTTGTTTATTGCTTTTTAATGTCAAGTGTGGGATAAAACTCGTACCGTTCTTTGTTGCAGCAGGTAAGGAACGAGACTGTACATGCTATTTTCAATAGTTCAGACATTTGATGGAAACAGCTCTGCAGGCTTGAAGAATTCCGTTACTCTTATGAACCGATCAAGTGGAAAGATCTTTTACTTATTTGGGCATTGTTTTCTTGATGGAAAGCCTTGGAATGGGAAGTGAATTACCTATGTTCATTTACCTGTAATGATGCATGTTCTACTTCCTGTAAAATATTAGCCAAGACAATGAAAATAGATCAGTGTGAAGAGGCTGTCTGAAGAAGAATCTGCAAAGTTCAAGGGTAATTCTTTTGCAGTTATGATATTTATGGTTATATAGTGTAAGATTCAAAAAGTATATAGTAGTATCTTTATAAGTATTGTGAAATCATATTTATACATGAATAAAATTCCATTGCCAAGAATTGAACCCGGGTCTCCTGGGTGAAAGCCAGATATCCTAACCACTGGACGACAATGGAGTTGTATTTTGTTTGAAATAATGCATTACTTAAAGTAGCAATGAAAGCAGCCTCAATTTCAAATGCACATCTGTAAGTTGGTCTCAGTTTCAGCTTCCTCTTCCGTTGTTCCACATGGAAAATTTTCACCCTATGCTAAAACCCCCTGAATTACGTACACCGTTTTTATATTTCTGCAATGATTTCTTTCTTATTAAATACGACTATTTTGAGAACTGTAGTAGTTTATTGGGGCTTAAAAATGGGCAAATTTTATCATTGCCATTTGATTAATGGTGATACTTGCATGAACTTCCATCTTCGAGAAGTCATCCGTACTGCAAAGGCAATTTTTGTTCATTAACTTGCATTTTTTGGGAAATATATATTATTTGTTGTAAATGGTTCATGGTGTGAGAGCTATAGGGATGAATGGTAATGTAGGATGGAGAGTTGGGTTTTAGAATTTGGTGGATGCCCCAATGTTACAGATCGTTGCCTACAATCAACTATCTTTGAGTCTCGGTTAAGAAGAGCTCGAAATTGAATTTGCTTGTAACGATTTGTGTGTCCATTTGATCTCTTTGCCTCTGGGATGATGCTTCATTAGCCAAATCAGACATTTTTGATGTACTCCTTAAGGCATCCACCTCAAAGCTATTTGTTGGATGGGATGCCTTTTGTTGAAGCGCATCCTCTGATGATACCCTCGGGATTGGTTTCTTGTCTGACCAGAGTAGTTTTCTTTTCATCTATATCATAGAGATTATCTACCTTTCGAGATCGACCGACGGTTCCTTATTCAGCAAGTGGGAATCGTTCGGCTTATCATGCTATAAGTTACACTTCTGCAGTTCATTCATATTGTATGAATGGTTCCCTTGCTCTCCAAGCGTTGGCTAAATAGTGTTCGTTTATTGCTTTGATGATACCCTTGGGATTGGTTTCTTGTCAAGTGTGGGATAAAAGATGCTAGTCAAAGTTGATCTGCATCAAACAAACTCTTGCCGCTCTTTGTTGCAGAAGGTAGGGAACGAGATTGTATACATTATTGTCAATAGTTCAAACATTTGATAGAAACAGCTTGGCAGACTCGAAGCATTCTGTTACGCTTACGAACTGATCAAGCGGAAAGACTTGTTACTTCTTTGGGCATTGTTTTCTTGATGGGAAGCTTTGGAGCAGGGAGTGAATTACCTATGTTCATTTATCTGTAATGATGCATGTTCTACTGCCTGTAAAATATTAGCCAAGACAATGAAAATAGATCAGTATGAAGTATGAACCTGCTGTCTGAAGAAGAATCTGCAAAGTTAAAGGGTAATTCTTTTTACAGTTATGATATTTATGCTTGTATAATGTAAAATGCCAAATATATATATATATATATTAGTTGTAGTATTTTTTTAGAAAAAGTTATGAGAATTCATTTGACAAAATGTAAATTTCCATTGCCGGGAATTGAACCCGGGTCTCCTGGGTGAAAGCCAGATATCCTAACCACTGGACGACAATGGAGTTGTGGTTAATTCCACCCTATGCTAAAGCCCCTGAATTATTAGTTAGCTTTTTCTAATCTTTACAGTTTTTATATATTTCTGCATTGATTTATTTCATATTAAATACCACTATTTTAAGGACTGCTAGTTCTTGGAGCTTAAAAATGGGCAAACTTTATAATTTTCATTTGATTAATTGTGATACTTGGACGAACTTTCGTTCTTTGGGAAGTCGTCTGTACTTCAAAGGCAAATTTTTTTTCATCAACTCACATTTTTGGGGATATATATAGATAAATGTTGTGTGCAAATGGTTTATAGTTTGAGGGCTAAGGGTTGGAATGTTAATGCATGAATTAGGATGGACATGGAGATGGAGAGTTGGGTTTTAGAGTGTAATAGATTGTTGTGTACAATCAAGTAGCGTCGAGTCCGGTGAAGAAGAGTTCGACATTGCTTGGTCACTAGACAGAAGTTCTTTGGAGCATCTTCGATTCACTGCTGTTTCGGGAATCATCTATATCGTAGAAGTTATATGCCTCTTGAATTCGACTGATGGTTCCTTATGCTGCAAGTAGCTCATTCATATTGTATGAACGGTTCCCTTGTCCCCAAGAGCTGGCTAAATAGTGTTCATTTATTGCTTTGTAATGTCAAGTGTGGATAAAAAGATGCTGTTCATGCTAGCTTTAATGTCATTTCCCGGTGACAAACTTTTCAACTTGTTTTTCAGACTGTTTGCGTCTCTCTGCATCTCTTCTCAATAATGGACTTGTGACACAGGATTTCCATTATGTTTCGACTACTTGCTTTTGCCTGAAAACTTCAGTTTTTATCTGATCTGAACAAACTCAAACTTCTCTTTATTGAAACAGGTAAGGCAATGGATTGTCGATGCTATTTTCAATAGTCGAGATATTCGACGGAAACAATTTGCTAAGCTTTTAATCGCTTCTTCTGAACCGATCTAGAGGAAAGATCCGTCGCGCTTCACTGCCGTCCAGACGATGTTAGAATGGGAGGTTGCTAATGAAGAATAAATTTTGTGTTTTCTTTCACTTATTCAGGCATTGTTTTCTGGATGTAAAACTTTAGGACAAAGTGAGCTTCCTTTGTTATGTTCATGCAGCACATGTATACGTGTTTAAAATTTGATTAACGTATTCTAACTATGCTCTACATTAAATCAAAGTTAATATTTAATATTCAAGCTAACAGAATGACCTAATTGAAATGGTGTTGATAATTTTAAGACACAAGTAAAATATTTTAAAATCCGGAGATAAATTTAAAATATAAGACAGTTTCAAAACTTCGATTTATATAAAACGATATAAGAACCAAAGATATATGATTATTTCATCTGTTAACTTTATCTTCATTCATGATGGAAACGAGTAACCTCCAAAAACTTATTATCCTCAAAAAATCGAAACTTTTTAAAAAATTCTCCAAAAACATCATAAACAATAGAAAATAAGTTGAAAAAAATGATACTATTCAATTACAATTATCACCCAAATCAGTCTTCTTCTTCCCTTCACTAGAGCAAACATCCTATCATCATCTCCAAACTAAAAAAATATGGCTGAGATCAAAGTAGACCCTTCTCTCCACCATCCCCTGGCCATCCCCGAGTACGAAATCTCAACTCAGAAGCCTAACAAAACTCAGCGGGTTGCCTCACTGGACATCTTCAGAGGCCTTACTGTGGCAGTACTCTTCGTTTTTCTTTCATCCAATCCATTGAAAGGGTTATTTCTCCAAGGCTTTTTTCCTTTGAACTAAACTGTGAACTTTTGTAGCTGATGATTCTAGTGGATGATGCTGGAGGAGAGTGGCCTGTGATTGGCCATGCACCATGGCATGGCTGCAACCTTGCTGATTTCGTTATGCCCTTCTTTCTTTTCATTGTTGGAATGGCCATTCCTCTTGCTCTTAAGGTTGGGTTTCTTCTTCAAGCTTATGAACTAACAATTTGGTCTTTGAGACACTTGAGTAATGATTGCAGTTTATATTTGCTTCAAATTGGTAACGGTTACATGTTTTTGTAGAGAATGCCAAGTAGGGGTAAAGCTGTGAAGAAGGTGGTTTTCAGAACCCTAAAGCTCCTCTTTTGGGGTTTGTTATTACAAGGTTTGGTTTTCCTTGTTGTACACATCAAGGGGGAAAAAGATAGACTTTGGGGGTTCGTTTCTATGTTTATTCGGATTTGGGTGTTATATATTCGACACGGGTACACATGTTCGAATACGAGTACTTAAAGAAAAATAAAGAGTTCGAGCAACATAGGTTCATTTCCCATATGTAGGGTATTCACATTCATGGTGTGTTATGAATCACATTTTTCTGGGAATAATCTAACTAGTGAAAGAAGATTTTTGGTGGTATGATTCATCAGACATTTTTAAAACTTTTAGGGGCTAACAAATTTTCCTTAAGCAAATAAGATTACATAAATCCTTATTTCAAATTGAGAAATTCTTCTATCTTAATACATTTATGCAAATTCGAACGATGATGGAAAAGCTTCAATGCTAACTTCTGTCAATCGTTACATTACGAAGGAGGGTTTTCGCATGCTCCCGACGAGTTAACATACGGTGTCGATATGAAGATGATAAGGTTCTGTGGCATTCTACAGGTACTAATTGCATAGTTAAGTTCTTCAATAATGGCTTCAGGAATAAGTAATTCATTTTACCTTCTTTGTAGAGAATTGCTTTTGCATATCTGGTAGTGGCACTTGCAGAGATTTTCTGAAAGATGCACAATCCAATGGTACTTCAGTTGGCCATTTCTCTGTTTTTAGGTTATATTGTTGGCATTGGTAAGTGATTAAGTTCCGATTGAACTTTTCGTATTTATGATCGTATCAAATGCTAACTAATTCTCGGTTTTTTACAATCTGCAGGCTGTTAGGTGCATGCATACTTATTTTGTATTTGGCTTTACTTTACGGAATATATGTACCGGACTGGCAGTTCACTGTCCGTGATAAGGATAGTGCTGATTATGGGAGAGTTTTCACTGTAAGCCTCGGTTACGATTAATATCGATTATCGCTTAACTGAACCATAACATTTGCTGTAGTTCCTTAAGATTTTGTTGATTTTAGGTAGCCTGCAATATGAGAGGAAAACTTGATCCTCCTTGTAATGCCGTCGGATATATCGACAGAGAAGTCTTGGGGATCAATCACATGTACCATAAACCTGCATGGAGAAGATATAAGGTGTAGTTTAAGATTGACATGACAGTAATTTACTTAGAGTGAATAACAGTTGCATATCTGAAATCTTTCCTACACTGCTGCAGGCTTGCACCCAGAATTCCCCCTACGAGGGACCGTTCAAAAACGATGCTCCGTCATGGTGTCATGCACCTTTCGAACCTGAAGGAATTTTAAGGTCTGTTGATGCAGTACAAGTTTTTGGTACTGGTTGTTTATCTTCAGAATCCTTGACATTGCGTGCACTAATTGCAGCTCGATATCTGCAATTCTTTCTACAATCATAGGAGTGCATTTCGGGCATGTGCTCGTACATTTGAAGGTAGAAATTTCGAAAACAGATCGATACATGGTACTTGGTTTTCTAATTCGAGGGGTCTTTGATGAATTCTTTTGATTCCAGGGTCATTCAGAAAGGCTGAAGCAATGGATCGTGATGGGGTTCGCTTTCCTCGTTCTAGGATTTGCCTTGCATTTTACACTAATTCCATTGAACAAACAACTATATACTTTCAGCTATGTTTGCGTTACATCTGGAGCAGCAGCACTTGTCTTCTCAACCATTTATATTCTGGTACGACTCTTAAAAGTCGATGTTTTTGCTTACGGCTTATGCTGATCGAAATTTCGGGTGGCCAGGTCGACATATGGGGTTTCAAGTACATGTTTCTGCCATTAAAATGGATCGGCATGAATTCAATGCTGGTTTATGTCATGGCTGCTGAAGGCATATTTGCAGGCTTCATAAACGGGTGGTATTACGAGGATCCAAATAATACATTGGTTGGTTTTCATTGACACTAGTAATCTCCTTTCCCTTTTACGATCTCCTTCGATTTTCCATTCTGTTTCCTAAAATGGCTATGACAATGACAGGTTTATTGGATTGAAGAACACATATTCATAAGGGTTTGGCATTCAAGAGGAGTAGGCATCCTACTATATGTTATATTTGCAGAGATCCTCTTCTGGGCTATCGTTGCCGGCATTTTGCATCGATACGGAGTTTATTGGAAGCTTTGATCCTTCCCTACACAACCTAGAGATAGTAATAGATAGTGCAGTTTCAGATATTTACAGGTATTCGACCTACTCTCGTTTTATATTCGAATTATATTTAAAATATTGTAAGTATCCGACCCGAGTCGACACAATTGATCCATAGAATAAAGTGAAGTCGAAAAGTCCCCAATAAAGAGGATTGCAACTTGGCCACAATAACAAACATGTATACACACACACCACTTGCCATGAGAAATCACAACCAAAACTTAGTTTCAAGCATATCCATATATCAAATGATCTAAATTAGCTAAGAAAACAATAGATATATAGTTTAGAACTACTTGTATCTAGAATTAAACTAAATTCAGCTATATATAGCAAAGCCGGTCCGATACCGGGTGTTGAGACTCGGTTAACACTTGACTTCCTTCAAGCCATGGGCAAAGTATAGGAAGGTGGGATCGGTGGCGCCTTCTTTGTAGTATGCAAAGACCAGGCTACCATCATCATGCATGCTCTCACCCACAAAGCTGCAACAACATCAACACAATGTTAAACTCAAATGAAAAGAAACGGCGATGGTTCGATTCGAGAGACGGTTAGAACAGACAGAGTTGGCTTACAATTGGAAATCTTTGATCTTGGAAAGCAAATATTTAGTAGCGCCTTCTATGTTCTTCTTGAATGTCTCTTGCTTTTCGGGCTCTAACTTGGGTGTCAAGTTCTTGATGTACCTCTTCACAAAGGTTACGAATTGCTTCTTGTCGAACGCGGGTTGCTCCTGCGAATCGAATTAACACGATTTTTTCAGATGAGAGTATTGGAAAACATGCCCTAAACTTCAAACTCTAACCTACTTACTTGAAGTCTGAAAGTGTCGACGATGTCGACAACTTTGACGGCTTGGTCATCGACACCTTCGTCTTCATCTCCGCCTTCGGCTGAAGGGTTAGCCCCAATATCGACATTGACAGCTCCTTGAACAACCCACTAAAAGAACCAGACAAGTAAAGACATCAAAAGATGTTAGAAAAACCCCGCATATTAACTGTGAGTTTCAGCCCAAAATTACAGAAAAACAAATAAAAGAAAATAAAGAACTAAGGAATCCAACCTTCCCTTCGACTTCCCAGAGAATTCCATTCTCGATTTCTTTGTACGGGAAAGAATCAGAGAGAAGCTCATCCCCTGTAAACCATCAATATTAAGCTTTTAACTAGAAAAAACAAAACAAAACAGGGAAAATAACAAAGCGCGTCAAATTATACTCCAAATTCAATATAATTTCTTCTGAATTCGAGGGAAAGTAACCCAGAAAAAGAATTGCAAAAAGAAAACAGTACAGAACTTGGAAACAATAAGAACATGAGCTAAAAATAAAAGAGAGGGATTGAAAACAAAAACAGAAAGAACAACAAATTTTACCAGTGAGAAGATCTTGGTAAACCAACATGTTGACTGAAAATTAATTACTTTGAGGGCTTAAATTTCGATTTTTGAAATCTATCGACGAGAGAAAGCTGGAGAGACATGCAATCATTAGCAAGCGCCAAAGAGCATTTATAGGGGGAGGGTTGAAATCCGGGGGAGTTCGAATTTACCAAAATAGCCAAGAAATTTTGTATAATTACAATCGAGTTCCCGCAATTGTAGTAGAGTTTTGACGTTAACGGTAAAGTTGAAAAAGGCAAAGAAAATTTTCATAAAAGAGAGTAAAAAGTAGATTTCTGTTACCCGAAAAATTACTTTTTATTAAAACTAAAGGAATTGGTTTTTAATTGAATGTTTATTTGTAACAAAAACATTAAATATTTTCATCCATTATTTATTGTCAAATCTTATTATAATAATAGATGGCAACAGGTCGGTTTTTTGTCCGTTCGATCCCACCCAAAAGTATGCATCCCAACTCGAATTCGTCCTAATTCAAAAATTTTATATCCTACATTTGACTTGATCAGACTCGAAAAATATATATCTTTCACCTAATTGTGACTCGACCCGACTCAATATAAATTAAAGATTTAATTAAATAATAATAATTTTTTAAGAAACTTATATTATTATAGTCAAGTCAGATTAGAGTTTTTTCACCCTTCATCCAATTCTAATCTAATTCGACTTCACCCCTTAAAATATCATATTCAATCGAATCCAAATCTAAAATTTAAAAAAAAAATCTGACCCGATCTTGTTAGGATAAGATACATGTGAAATTACTATCCCTAAATTAAAGACATTGGATCTAGTGCAACCAGTATAATATAGATATTTATCAAACGCGTAGAGTACAAGGTTATTAACCTTGAGGTCGTGGGATCGAGTCCCATGGAGGGCATTTCATAATTCGGAGGTCTCTTACGGAAGCTGCTCTCAATCTGGTGTTGGAGGTAGCTTACTATTTTACCTCCCCTAAAAAAGTGACAGACATTTTTTATTTTTTTGGTAAATTTTAATACATCATTTTAGTTCGCGCTTAGATTTGTACTGCAATTCCGACATCTGTTTGGAGTTCATTTGGGCCCACCATATTTAAGCTAGTTCACTACGCTTTTTGGCATTTAGGGTAAATTATAAATTTTGAATTTTATTATCTCTTATTTTTTTTATTTAACTTTAAAAATTTTTAATTTTTTCACTGAACTTAATATATCGATTTTTTTGTCATTTAACTTTTATTCTATCTCCTATTTTAATCATCACATCGTTAAATAGTTAACAACATTAAAAATGATACTGTTTAAAAATAATTTTTTTTACTAAAATAATATCGTTTTGCACTTATATAATAATTCATTTTAATGCCATTAACTATTTAATGGTCGAGTGATGGAAAATTCCGATATATGAAGTTGATATATAGAACTTCAAGGGATAGTAATAATTTTAAGCACTAAAACTATCTATTTCGTTATATTAAAATAATATTAAATAAATATTATAGTATTTCAAAAAAAAAATATCAATATTATATTATAAATAATATTATTTACTACATTTCTTATTTATAACGAATATATTTTAAAATTTTATTAAAATAACAGAAATAGTTTATATAATATCATTAAAATATTTAAAAAAAGTCAGATATTATTTTTTTTTAAATATATTTTTTTCTTCAAAAATTATTTTTTAAAAGTATTTATAGATATTGCAGATCAAATTTATAAGACTAATGTTGATGATGACCGTCACAAAATATGAACAATATAGAAGGAACATGGAAAAGAGAATATCCATTGAATAGGGACAATATATTCCATTATGAAAGCTTTAGTGATAAGGGTAGTATGGAACTTTTACTTTGTTTGAACACCAATTTTGACCCCTAGTCGGCCATCTCATAATTTCTTTGCCGAAATGAACGTAGATGTTATTGGATTTTGATTAAGGCTTATACGGAGGTTAATTCTTTTAGTTATAATTAGGTTGTGGATTAATTATTTTATTTATTAATTATTATAACTAGAATATTTAAATGTTATTAAAAATTAATATTGGGTAAACTACATTTTTAGTATTAATTTATCAATTTTATTATGTTTTGATTACTCAATTATTATTATTTTTTCAAAGTCTTATATATCATTATGTTTCGTTTTCGTTCAATCACTTGACGTTAAAAAATTAAAAGAATTATTAATGTAATATTTTTCTAATTTTTTTTAATGATGATGTGGTATTATCTTATGGTGACACATCAATATCACCGTTAACTTTTTGACGGCGAGTGATCAAAATGAAACCAAAACTTAATATTTGACATGATTTTGAAACCAAAACTTAATATTTGACATGATTTTGAAACCAAACATAATTAGATGACCAAAATAAAACAAAAGAAATAGTTAGAGTACTAATTGTAATGATTAACAGTCCACAGCCAACATGTATACATATGCCATAGGCACCGTGCAAGCAAAGCGTGACAGGATCCTTAGGGCCCACCAGCTGCACTCAAAACGCTGTACGATTCAATGCATTTTGTCTTAAAATACTCCATATTCCCTCATATGGACCACTTGGATTACGTACTTTGCAATTGGATCCCCACTTGCACAATTTGATCTTTAAGAATTTATAGTTTGTTATTGTATAACTTCCATATATTTTGTTATTTAACTTTTAATTTTTTAATATTACTTTAAGTTTTAGTAATTTTAAATTTTTTATATATTTTAAAATAAATTTAATGTATTACTTTTTCTTTAAATATTATATAAAAAATTAATTAAGCTACCATTTTTTTAAAAAAAAAATCAACTGCTCTTTTTACTACATTATTTACTTGTAAAATGTTATGTCAACCGTATATATTGTCGTGTTAATACTGTAAATTATTATTAACATAATAGATGAGTCACCATGTCAAAAATATTTTCGTGATGATAGCTAGAGGATTAAATACGAAAACAAGAATAAGGGGTTGTTTGTTTACTTTAGAATGATCAAGCGTTGAATGATTCAAATATTGAATGATTCAGAGGCTCTGAATGTGATATGTTGTTTGATAATGGTTCTGAATCATTGAGAATGTACTTTGATATTGAATCATTCAACATTGTTTTGCTGAATCGGTCAGCACTGAATCATTCAGAGATGTGAAACAAACATGCTGAAAGAGCCAAACAAACGGCTCCTAAGTCATAAAATTTTAAAATTATTTAAAATTTAAAATTAATTTTATTCTTTTTTATTTTTATTACATTTAAAAAGAATATACTTTTTAAATTATCATGAAAGAAAAAGGAAAACGTTTTTTCCCCTCTAATCCCAAATTTAGATTTGAGTAAACAAAATCAATTTAAGGGTGAGAATAAAACGTTTAATAATTATAAAAGGAATAAAGAAAGGAATATATCATTCGGACACGTTACTTCGTCACTTTAAATAGTAAAATACAAAGACAATGCTAGTCTGGTAGAAAGAAAGAAAAAAACATATTAACCCGTTTTCTCTGTCTTTTCTTTGGTCAATAACAAAGAATTTGAGACGACGAGTAGTTTTTGTTTTATATAATTTAACCCGATTGAAATCGGCGGTTGTGTTGGGAAAACGAAAGGAGGAGGGTGAATTTTATTTTTAGTAAAATTTAGGTTTTGAGATTTTGGTTGGGTGGGTTGATTTGAAGTTTTTAAGTTTGTAACTGTTTTAGAATTATGGGATTAGGGAGTAATTGTGGGACCGATGTTGTGGTGGACGACGGTGGTGGTGGTGGTGGTACTGGCGGCGGTGATGGAGAGGAGTCTCTCGGGTCGGTTTCTTGCTCGATTTGCCTCGAAACGGTTGCTGATAACGGAGATCGGGCGTGGGCTAAGCTTCAATGCGGTCATCGGTTTCATTTGGGTAAGTCATGTTTTTAAAGATTAGGAACTGATTTCCTCAAAGAACTTTTGAATTTTTTTTTATAAAAATTGAGATTATAAGATCTGGGCTCGAGTTTGCTCATTTGATTTCCTGGTTTCTTTATTGTTTATGCTTCTTTTTTAACTGGAAATGGAAACTCTTGTTTCCTGAAGAATGATGGAGCTTTAATGTTTCAATTCGTTGCTCCCTTTTCTGTGAATTGCTCTTAGATTCGCCTGTTAGTTCTGTTAATGAATTTGATGAGCTCTGCAGCTTTGGAGATGGCTACTAGTTGAATGTCAAGGATTTAAAACTAGATTGCCGTGTGATATATTTGTTGCCTTGGTTGGTGGTGGTATATATCTTTTGGAAATGATTTTTAGCCTCTATTTTCGACGTTTAAATTGATCATCACACATTTTGTAATTGATTTCCCTCAGATTGTATTGGTTCGGCATTCAATATAAAGGGTGCGATGCAATGCCCTAATTGTCGAAAAATAGAGAAAGGTCAATGGCTTTATGCCAATGGTGGCCGACCCTATCCAGAGTTTAATGTGGATGATTGGACACATGATGAGGACCTTTATGATCTAAGTTTATCTGAAATGGTAATGGGGCAATATTTCTTTGCAAGTTCTATTCTCTGCAGTTTCAACATTTGCGGCAAACCGAAATGGTTTTGATTGCCTAGCATTTTTGTATCTAGATATGCCTAGCATTTTCATCCTTGCCCTCCCATCCATTTCACTTTAAATGGCCATCTTTTATTGATTCGTTTAGCCTGGGAATTTTGATTTTTGAAGCTCGAGGCTAACAAACTGAGTTTCTTTTTACTAAACCTGTCAAGTTTGAAAATTTAACAGTTTATAGTTTAAATTTCACCACCATAGGTGGCTATGCAAACTTATACGATCATACTCCTTGTTAGTCTTTTGCTTTATGTATCTCTGTATATGCACACTTTCTGACAGATGATTTGAACTAGACTCCACTTTTGGCTTACTTATTTGGTTTTGACTGTATTTGTAGTCATTTGGAGTTAACTGGTGTCCGTTTGGCAGCTTAGCACAACTTCCTTCATTCGAGTAAGCATGAACTCACTTATTAGAGGCTAAATCTTAGTTTTCTGTTTCAATTTCTTTTCTGAAATGTACTTGTCAGTTGTCTCTTTTTCAACATGAAACACTTGCCTCGTTTTTTTGCGGGTTTTCTTGGATGAACAATTGTGATAGATAACGGCGACAGAGAGGGCAAGTTAATATATTCTTAGATAGAAAGGTTCAACATCTGATTAGTACCTGTGGTGGCCGAATGGCGATCAAATTCATGCTAGAAGTTTAGACAGCTTAAAGTCAAATCAGTTCTGTATGAGATGCATAAGATGAATTATGATTTTTTTAGAGGTATTAGCCACCAGGCTTGGTTTGGGGTGGAAATATTTCATTATATTAATGGAGGGCATTGCATCTCTGTAAGTAAATCATTTTCTGGCTAGGAAGTTACAGTATTCTAATTGTTCTAAGTTGGAAAAAATGTCGTAGTATTTTACTGTTCGGCTATCCTTAGGTAAATGTTCTCCTTTTATTTCTTCACGTGTATCGTTATAGTTTGGTTTGCTTAGTTCGTTTGCCTTGTTGATGTTCGATTATTTTCTTTCTTCAACATGTCTTACTATTTTTATTTTCTTTTGTTTCTCAGGGAAGGAGAGTTATCATCAACTACATGTAAGATTTTTCATTGTCTTTCAAGTAATGCTTCTCCTGTGGAGATTGTTTGGCCTAATATGCTTATATCAGTTATGTTGGAATGCAGATCATGAGTTACTGGGACAGAATGCGATATTTTCCGAACATTCGGCACCCACTGCTCATCCATGTCCGTATGTAGCTTACTTTGGGCCAACAGTCCATCCATCATCGTCGAATCCCAGTGGAAGCGTTTCCGACAGTTCGAGTTTCAACAATCACTGGAATGGTCCATCAGTGCTTGGTGATGTACCTTCATCTTACGCTTATCCTGCAGTGGATCTCCATTACCATAATTGGGAGCATCATTCTCCGCCATTTTCCACATCTAATGGTCGAATTGGTAATTCCAATCAACCTTCAAATCCTCCCGTCAGTCGAAGGTCAGCCAGGAGTAGCTCTGATATGCCAAGATCCGGATCTTTTATGCGTCCATTTGTTGTTGGGCACAGGTATTCCTCATCATTTTAGATTCGATCCAAATATTTTTCTTCCGCCGATATTTTATTATCAATTGCTGTGTTTCCGCAGTTCTGGCACTAGAGCAGGGAGTTCAGTGGCATCCTCATTGATACCTCCTTACCCTGGTAGCAATGCCCGGGCAGGGGATCGATTTCAAGCACTCCAGGCATACTATCAACCACAACTTCCAAACACTTCACAGCCGATGCAGACACCCATTATTTCCGGCTCCCGAAGGTCAAGCAGTCACCAAATTCATTCTCAAGTTGGGCCAGTGGCCTCATCACCTGACCAGATGGGTGGCTTCTATTTCGTTCCATCGGGTACTCCAGTCCGTAACATTCTAGATACTGGGAATCCTCATTCAACTCGGTTCCATGCTTGGGAAAGAGATCATTTGCCCTCATTTTCAATAAACCAGGTTGACCGGGATCCAGGTTGGGCCGCAGTCCATCATTCCGCTGTTGCATCCAGCAGCTTCCTCCAACGGCACGGTTTTGAGAGGACGCCTTCTCGAAACTATTCATAGTATTTCTTCCTTTCAAAAACTTTTTGGGTGAAGCAAACCATGTCTGCAATGAATGAAACCAAAGACTTCTGTATGCTTAAAGAGAAGATATGTGTTTGCTTGAGAGCCCGTCAATCCATTGCTCCAAAACAATATTTTTGGTGCTCACATGGCGGTGTCCTGGACTTGGCTTCCTTTTTTGTTCCTTTTGCTGAGGATATAAAATACTTCTTTTCTTATAAAAAAGAAAAGACAATGGTGGACGGGATACAATATGATAGGTTTAATATAATATATATATATATATATATATATATATATTTTATCACATGAATATAAATGAGTTAGTTTAATTACTAAATGTGTAATTTATTTGGGTAAAATACACGAATAGTCATTTAACTAGATATTATTTTATCGAGTCTCTTGATAATAGAAAGTTATTTTGTTGAGTTTCTCAACTATTAAAAGTTACAAAATGATCACTCTATTATTCATGTTAAAAAATCAATTGTCATCTAAGTTAGACATTAACATGATGATTGAAATATGTCACTTGAGATTATTAGGTCATATTTTATCGTATCACAGTCAGTAAGTTAACGTATAATTCAGACTACCATAAAATTTTTAACGGAAAAAGATGAATTTGGAACATAATAAATAGTTAGTTGACCATTTTGTAACTTTTAATAGTCAAGAGACTCGACAAAGTAACTCACTATAGTTAGAGGACTGTTTTATAACTTTTAAATGTCATGAGACTTCTTAATAAAACAATATCTTATAGATAAGTCGACCATTTATGTATTTTACCCTATTAATTTTATCTAGATAAGTGATTGGACTTAATGAGATACTCTGATGAATATGAAAAGGAAAATCGAAAAAATAGAAATTAAAATATTTTTTCATTTTAATTATTTTTTAACAGATCAAAATGGTAAGCAAATACGATAAACAAAAGTCAGTACTTTGAACATGAAATAAAAAAAAAAAACAGTGGGTTATTGCGTATGGCGCGGCCTTATACTAAACAAGAAAACTAGACGTGTGGTTTGGTCAATGATGCACATAGACTCGATAAATGAAAATGTTATTGAAATAAAAGGCTAAATTTGAATTTTAGTCCTTATACTCTTCTTGAAGTTTTAAATTTTATCCATATGCTTTAATTTTGCATAACGTAATCATTTACTTTTATATGGTTGTTCTTTTTTCTCATATGTATGGAGTAAGGGGGAGGTAAGATAGTATGCTACTCCCAACACCAAGTTGAGAGCAGCTTCCGTAAGAGACCTCCGAATTATGAAATGCCCTCCGTGGGACTCGATCCCACGACATCAAGGTTAAGAACCTTGGTTATTTCAATTAAAAATAGAGTGATCAAATCATGACATATTAAAGTGAATAGATTAAATATCAAATTTGAGTATATTAAAGGGACTACAATTAAATTTGACCGTAACAAATAAAAATATAATATTTTGATTCCCTTTCGCCCATGGTTTTCAATTTACATATAAACGTCGAAGACATTGTTTCCTCTTCATTCTTGTATATATAAAGAGAAGAATTTTAATTGTTTCTCACCGCAAAGTCGTTTCGTTTTGTTTTCTTTATTTCATCTCAAAGGAGGTTTAATTTCTGTGCAAAATGGTGGAACCTAAGAGCAAGGTTGAATCGATTAGGGAATGGGTCGTCGATCACAAGCTTAGAACTGTTGGTAATTATTTTTTTTTTACATTTTTTTCTGAGAAAAATATGTGTTTGATTTGTTGTGATTTTATTTATTTATTTGGAATTTAATTTTGGCTTGTCTTGAATGAAAGGGTGTTTGTGGCTTAGTGGTATTGCGGGTTCTATTGCTTACAATTGGTCTCAACCTGGCATGAAAACCAGCGTTAAGATCATCCACGCTAGGTAAATCTTTCGTTTTTCCTTTTTTTTTTGATTATTTCGTTTTGATTTTGATTTTGCTTTATTGAGTTTTTTTTTTTTTTGAAATTTTGATTCGTTCATGTTGGTTCAATGAATCTGTATTAGAGATTAACGAAATTCGCCCTTTGTTTGGTTGCTGGAAAATTGAAGAAAGGAAAATTTATTATCATTTTTAGAAAATTTGATTGTCTTGCGGGTTTGATAATTTTATAGGGCTGCAAAGCATCATTCTATCACTGCTGGTTCTGGGGTTTAAATGATACAAATTATGCTATATTTGACCTCAATTGATTGGGATTTCAGGAGTATATACATATATATATACTGTAAGCAAGATATGAGAAGGGTCTTTAAACTAATTGAAATTTGTTGATATTTTAACTTTGCCGTGTACCATTTTGTAATCGTTTAGGAAGCTTAACGATCATTTGTAACATTTGAAAGGTTGCTGACCCAAAAAGATCATTTTTACATAGTTCATCGACCTCTAGTGTACTTTACTCATTAGGGTTCAACGTTTTTCGATACAGTAGAGTCCGAGCAATGGCATTGTGATATTTTGCAGATGTTTATGATATCCAATCTTTAAGAACTATGCTTTCCAAACCATAGAAGAATTAGTAACCGTTAGAATTGTTTTAGTTGGTTTATCGTGAGTCGATTTTTCTAGTATATAAGTTGAAAATGCCCTGCCTTTTCGTCTTTGATTTTTCATCAACTTCGGTGCGATAGTATCAATTCGATGCTCTGATTGTACAAAGTTTAGTTTGAAGGTCATATGCCTAAGGAAGAATTAAGTTCGGTACATCTTTAAGCTCGTGCTCTTCTCGTTTATCGACTTCATGTTAACTTACATGATTATATAAAGCAATCTTTTGTGGTTGAATTGTTGAATTGGCTTACATTTTGTGAAACTGGCCTTGCAATAACATGATACATTTTACATATTATGCCTCGTCTGTTAACATCATTGCCAACTCCCTGCAATTCAGGTTGCATGCACAAGCCCTTACGTTGGCTGCATTAGCCGGTGCTGCAGCGGTTGAATACTACGATCACAGGAGCCGAACCAAACCTGATCCGTATGCGAAGTTCCTTCCGGTCGACGGATACTCGCGCAAGGAGTAGAAAACCCGGGATAGGGTTTCAAGTCTCTAACTTTATAGGGTTTAATAAAATATTTTATTTTTTTGTTGTTTAAAGAGAGGTATTACATTTGCCAGTTCTCATCAACTGTTTTCCTCATTAGCTTATGGTATACCAATGGTATAGTGGAATTTGAATCTGATATTTTACTGAAAAAGAAGAGCCTTCTTACTATCATTACGTTGTGGCTGGGGTATTAATATCTTACCTGAAAGGGTAAATACAAATTTCATCATTAAACTTTATAACTGTCTCTTATTTGTTCATTGAACTTTAAAATTTTTCAATTTTCTCATTGAATTTAATATATATCAGGTTTTTTTTTATCACTTCACTATTAAATAGTTAATGATGTTAAAACTAAAATTTCATCAAAACAATATCATTTTGTATCTATATAAAAGTTCATTTATAACATCGTTAGTGAAAAGCGGCTGAGTGATAAAAGAAAATTAATATATTAAATTTTGTAAGAAAATTGAAAAAATTAATATATCTAAAAATTTGTTAGTGAAAAGCGGCTGAGTGATAAAACAAAATTAATATGTTAAATTTTGTAAGAAAATTGAAAACATTAATATATCTAAAAATTTGTTAATAAACTCAGTGAAGAAATTAAAAAAAATAAAAAATACACAAAGATAGAGTAAAGTTCTATTATCAAATTTTTGTTTATGTATTTTTTATTTTTCTGATTGATTCATATTTTCTTCTGTTTCTTCTATTTTGGTCCTTGTTGCTGTTAATTTCTTTTTCCTTTTTTTAAACTTTTGGAAATAAAATCATCCTTTACTATTTTGATGAAATCAATAATAATGGTCGATAATTTTAAAATGTTACTATCTTTATCCTATAAACATGTTTTTATTGACTTTTAAAAAGTTAAAAGTTTAAAACTTTGACTATGATTATCTTAAATAATTAAAATTTATAAAATATATTATTTGAAAATCAATTAATTGAAAATTTTAAATAATAATTAGTTAAAATTAAAAATTTGATTAAAAATCCATAATAAACATTTTATGGGACTAATTTTATCTAATAAAACTATTAAAATCATCAACATCTAAATATGAATTTGAAAATTATTATTAAAAATATTTATTTCACTAATTAATTTGAAAAAATCTCTATTTTCTTATTATTTAGTTTTGTTATTATTATTAAAAAATATTTAATTTTGTTATTAATTTGACACGATCTCAACGGTTAATCGACGACAATTACGACGACGTATGACTAGGAAGATGACAGAGACTATGTCACGGCGGTGGTCGTGGCCAAAAAGGGTGATGATGGTGGATTAAGGATATGATTTGGGGATTGTAGGGATTTTGAGTTTTTTTTTATAAATTTAGGAGAAATCAAATTTTTATAAATAAATAAATAATATTTTAAAAAAATAAATTTCATAATCATCGGAGTGTGATACAATGGGAAAAATTAACTTCTTTAACGGTCTAGATACTTAAAATGATAATATTTGTAACGTTAGTCACTTAGATTGGTCAAAAAATAGTTTAGATATCTATTCAGGAAATGAGGTATAGTTTGGGCACTTATTTTGGTATTAAGCCTAGATTCTATGCAGCAACGGTGCACCGCTGTCGCACCGGATCATAAGCAGAGCACGCACAAATAAGTGCCTTACAAAGCCCTAATTTTGTTTTTCGTCATCTTGGTTGCCGCCTTTCTCAAGAGCTTCAACACATTCTTCACTGGTAACTCTCTTTTCCAATAAGTAATAAGATATGTCTAATATTACCTGTTGCTTTGTGAAAAATTAAGTAACTTTTAATAAATATCTGGAAAAAATCCATTTGCTACTAAAAAAAATTGTACCTTTTGTTTTTAGCTCTTTTTATTAGTGAAGCGATTCCCTGCTTTCTGGTGTAATTTGGTTCATGCGTTTATCAAAGATAGGATATTCAACTATTGCCGTCGAGGAGTTGATTTGAGGTTTTCATTTGGGCTGATTGGAAGAGGATACATTTATGTATGTGTGTTTGGTTGTCGAGAAAATGAGGGAAATTTAGCTTCCCTTTGTTGTGATGATTGGAGTTTAGTAAGTTTAACTGATTCTAATATGTTTTTTTTCATATATGGGGTTAATGCCGTAGGATAAACTGAGAATAAGTCGAGGTAGTATGTCGGGATCGAAAGGGAAGAAGAAGGGTGTTACCTTCACTATCGATTGTTCGAAGCCGGTGGAGGATAAAATCATGGACATTGCCTCACTGGAGAAGTTTCTTCAAGAGAGAATCAAGGTTGGAGGCAAGGCTGGTGCACTTGGTGAAACCGTAACAATCACCCGAGAGCAGAGCAAAATCACCGTCACTTCAGACGGCGAGTTCTCTAAGAGGTAAAATTATAAGAGATTGCTTAAGATAGGATTACAATTCAAACTGTTTAAGGCTCTCCTTTCTCTTATGGTGAAAGATTATTTGCTTCAAGTTCCGAGTAATATCTCTAGTGTTGGCATGCGTGGTTGATCTTGGTTTCGTGGTCAGTATTAGGCTTTTATTAACATTGAACGTTTCGATTTAGTTCTCTCAAGTGGTATCGACTGGTAGTTCTCGATGTTGTACTGCTCATAGTTTGCAGTATGAGTTGGATTGCCTAGCATTGTGCCTCGACATGTTCATGCACTCATTCTGTTTCTCCGTTTTCGTCCAGGTATCTGAAGTACTTAACCAAGAAATACTTGAAGAAACACAACGTACGGGACTGGCTCCGAGTGATTGCATCCAACAAAGACCGAACCGATTACGAATTAAGGTACTTCAACATTGCAGAGAACGAGGGGGAGGAAGAAGATTAATATCCGGGGGAACGACCGGTCGTAATGGTTGTTGCTTTGCCACTTTTTCTTTTTCCAGAATTTGATTGTTTGAGGATTTGAACATTCAGGTGTACAAAATCATTTTTTTATTTATTGAACACGAGATTTTGCAATGCCTTTTATGTTGTGATTTTGCCAGAAACTTGAGAGATTTGAAAATTTTACGTTTGTTTCATGTATGCTGCCACATTAACAGCTAACGATATTAGTTTCATGGGGGTACAATAGAACACGAAGTAAAATACATGGAGCAAATTAAATAATTAAAAACTATATGTACCACATTAGAAGATTTGGTAAAATACATGGAGCATTTGTGCCATTAACACTTGATATAATTAATAAGTACAACATTCCTACTATAATATTACATTATATAAAGGATGAGGATAATGACGTTATCTTTCGAATTCTCAAATGATATTTATTATTGGTAATCTTATATTACTCAAATAATCTAATGTGATTTTAAAATTTGACTATCCCTAAAAGATTATGTTTCAAAATCAAAACAATATATTATAATTTTAAAATCTTATATTACTATTCAAGTAATATAATGTTATCCGAATTGAATCTATACTCATATTTGAATTCATCAAGTGACGTCGGTAGTTTAGGAGAGTATTGTTCTTCTTAAAATAACTGGGTGTGTGTTGTTAATAGCTAAAGAGGTTAAGAATATATATTATAAACATAAGGAATGCGTTTGATTCACGGAATGTAAGATTACCGGCGGGAATAAGATTACTGGAAATATTGTATTTTTTGTTTGATTCGTTTGGCATGAATGTAAGATTACAGTGTTTGGTTAAAGGAATAAAAGATTATTGAATATATCAAATTGTCCTTATTATATATTTGTTTTTTTAACAAGTTGAATTCTACTCTAATATTACTAGAATTATATTTTAAATTCATAAAATTTATATTTTTTTTCAAAATTGAAAAGATAAATAAGTTTAATGAAAGGGTAAAATTTTATTTTAACCCCTGAACTTCATATAAAATTCTAATTATGGATTTTTTTTAAATCTAAAATAGTTTAAAGATAAATTTGTAATATAACATTCGTAGAATTTTTTTATTCAACGACAGAAGAATGATATTTTTTTGAAAAAAATAAGGGCATTTTAGTCCAAAATACCGGAAATGTAACAATACCTAAAGGAATGGGGTAATCACATTCCCGATAATATACCCCTAAAATACTACTGTTGGGAATAACTTATTACTAGGGGTTGAGAATGTTTGCCAACCAAATGAGGTAATAGAATTCTCCCGATAATATGAGATACCCTAAACTAAACACCCTAAGAATATTTTAAAAAAAAATGTCCACACTCGAATCTAAAATTCAAATAATGGAGAAAAAAAAGTGTATTATTACCAATCTTGAATATGGTGAAGGTGAAAAGTGAAAAGTAGCGTAAATAAAGGGGGGCTGAAGCAAGGAATTATGAATGGGGAATCATATCAACCTAGGAACTCCATGTTCTTCTCCCCCTAAAACCTTATTTTTTTTTTTGTTTCTTGAATAATACGCAACCCCCAACGTGCAATGTTCTTCCACCTGTTACTGTCTGCAATTTTTGTTTGCTTCCGCATTTCTTCAAATCCATAAATCCTTTGGTCAAACGTCAAGCACCGGCATTTTCCATATTGGATTTCTCTCAGAATCTAATAAAGATTAGCCCTCCATTTCATGCTCACCCATGTTTTTTGCTTGACTTACAAGGCAAATAATATCTACCCTTTTCACCTCCTCCTCCCATCCTTACACTCAATCCCCCTCTTTAAAAGACAGGTGTTTAATACTCGAACTTTTAAGTCTCCCCCTTTGTAAGGGTGGCAAATGACTTTGATTTGAGTTTGAGTATCGTTAACTTGAAAATTGAAAACTGAGTTTGATTCGATTCTTAGGTTTACGAGCTTAAAATTATCAAACTATTTAAAAAAAAAGAGTCATTTGAAAGCTCATGAGTTTAAGATTGTCAAGCTCGACTCGAATTTGAAATAGAAAATTGAAATTCAACTCGAGCTTGAAATCAAAATATTCTTAGAGTTGGCTCGATTGAAGCCCTCGACTATAGGCATTATTTTGCTGAGTCATTTGACTATTAAAAGTTATAAAATGGTCCCTCAACTATATGACATTGTTTTGTTAACTCCCCAACCATTAAAAATTATAAAATGATCACCCGACTATTTATATGTTATAAAGTTGACTATTATTTTTTCAAGTTACTTGCGAATTCTACGAGTCGGGTATCAAGTAGCTCATTTCAGCTCGTTAAGGAACCAAGTCAAATTCGATCTCAAATCAAATACATCCAATTCGAGCGTGGATCAAATTTTAACCGAATAAAACTTGAGTAATTCACGATATGTCTCGTTTCATTTACAACCTATTAGTATTATTGTTCATTTTATACAATTTTGCCCCATAATAATAGTTAGAAAAAAAAGGAGCATATTAATACCAAGTAGCTTTAATTCGAAACACGTTAAGTATCTGAACCGAGTTAATGCAAAGAGGATGACAGCAAAGGAATTAACAAACCATAAAGAACCACACCACTCTCACTGATCTTGCACTGTCTCCCTACCCATTGCCAAAAGCAGCAATTAAACTCGAGTCTTGACACTCGTTTAAGTAAAGAATGATGGGATTTTAAGAATTTTAAAGCTCCAATACAGATTTTTTCCCCTTGTGATGACATGATGACGATATAAACGCTTTATTAAAAAACCGGTGAAGAAGAAATAAGATTCACTGCAAAATCTATGTCAAAATCAAGGTCTTATCTATGGAGGGTGATAGCCATCAATGAATCAAATTCAAAGACTCCACAGCTTTGATTTTCTCGTTGCTTGAGCTAGTGGTGAATTGCATCATTTTTTCATATTGAAAATTTTTCATAGGGTATTGGCCTTTTAGGCCTATATGATATCTGCAATAACTTATATTGGGAAGTGTCTTAAAAGAATGCCCACTTCTAGACTCAATCTCTCAAGTGAACTCTTTTTCTTTCTCTCTCTAGTAAAAGTTTGTGTATAAATACAAGTGGGTTTCTTTTGCTTTCTCCATTCATCTGTAATTTACTGTAAAACAAAAACTTGGTTTTGTCGTGATGAATTGGTGATGGTGAGTAGCTCTTGTTGGAGAAGCAGGGCACGTGCAAGTTGCACTTGTATGTGGTGTTTGAACTCAGCTCTGCACGTGCTCCCCTTCTCCACCATGAGTTCCTCACCTTTGTTTCTGGTGAATTGCAGATGTGCTCAGAAAGGTAAAAAATTATACTTGTTATTCTTGGCATTTGTAATAATCTCTGAAAAAACAAGCTTCTTGTAACTTGTAAGAACAGTTTGCCGACAGAATTTCAATTTCAGTATAATACTACATACATGTTTAGTAACATCTTGTAAATGCAAGAGATGATGAGTGTTCATTATCATCTTAGCAAGTCAAGTTTCGCCGGTAATTTCATGCCAGTAATCCATAAATACCAAAACTGCTGTTCTTTCTTGATGCTTCACGATCCTTGTAATATTTCAATATTTAAAATTTAATTTCATTAGTCCTTGTATTATTGTGGATTCTAAAATCTTGATCTTTTCAGTCACTTTTTTTTATTTTAATAGAACTGTTAAGAGGTTAATTCGACTGCAGATAGCTAGAACAGAATTAACCTAACTTTGTTTTCTTTTACAATAAAGGACTGTGGATGAACAAGAAATGACTGGGGGGAAACAAAAAGGCAAAAGAGTGATGATTTGAACAAGAAAGGACTGTGGGGTTTGACCAATCTTAGCTTCTAACATGAAGCAATACAAATTGTACTTCGCATTGTTGACTTGTTGTCACCCTATGTCACTTTATCTTTATAACGTGGATGAGTGTAGGGGAGTGTATATATATATATATATATGCACGTATGCACACGCTTGGTTTGAAGTGTCCAGTTAATGACAGAAGGGAAAACAAAGACAGCGTAAGAGTTTATATAGAAATAGGCAATGGCAGTGAAGATCGATCGAGTTGTAAGCAAAGTGGCAGTGGCAGACGGGGCAGTAACCTACAAAATTTGCCTTAAAAACCGGTGGACTCTTTATCCAACTTTAGTTTACATAATCTTAAGGGTTAATTTTGATAGGGGAAATGGGTGTTGGAAATTGGAATAGGTTAGGGGAGCAACGAACCTTAAAATGCAAGCAATGGCGTATATATTTTGACCGTGATCAGTGAAAAAGAGGGGTTGGAGCGAGAAAATTTTAATACCCCAAATTTTGAAAATTTAGTGGTCAAAGTAGAAAGTTGGAAAGTTTATAGACCAAAAGGGTAATTTTTAAAAGTTATGTATTTTGACCCGTAAATGAATAGTTCAACCCCAAGAATGAAGTTTTCTTGGGAGTCGGATATTTGGATCGAACCGAAATTTCAATAAAATTGGAAGAATGATAGATAAAAGTTGGAAATATTATTTCAAAATTTTAGAACAATGAAATTTAATGTGGATCAGTAGAATTGAAGTCGATTTTACATATTTAGCTAAAATTATAAAATTTAATGACTAAATTACAACTTTCAAAAATTTGCAAGGGCAAAGATTGAAAATATATTTTTATTTGTTCATCTTTGACTTTAGAATATTAAAAGGGATGATAACGCAATGGTAAGTTGAATTTTTCATGTTTTATGAAGGGTAAAATGATAATTTCACATTAAATAAATTTTAAATTTATTTATATTAGATTAAGCTAAGTGTATTATGTTTTAATTAAAGAAAAATCAGAAATTTTCAGTTTATTCCAACCCCAAAATGTGCACCACTATAGCAACAAGGTAATAATTTTATTTTTTTTTATTTTTAAGTTTATTCGATTGATTTTGGATTAATCTATTAGATATAGAAATAATCCTCTTGAAATTCTCAATTATTTAGTATAAATATTATATGGAGATCATGCTTATATGATGAGTTTGTAAATTAGGGTTTATGTAGGATTTGTTGATTTTGAGGATTTGATGAAAGATTTTTATGTTTTTGATGTTGGATATTAATTCTAAAGCTTGTATGATGATTAAAACTACTTGAAATTAGGTGAAATTCTATTTTACCATGACCTAGGGTTTTGAGAAAATTGTGATACGGTTAAATTATGACCTAAGGGAAATGATTATTTTTCATAATAATATGATCTCCAAAATTGAACAAACTACTTTTCTCTAGTGTTCTTTCTTTTTTGCAATTTCCTCGAGTCCTAAAAAATCTCTCATCCCCTCCCTCACCCACCAATGACCAACCTCTAATAACATTGACCCAAGGCTTCTAGTGAAAAGCAGCTAAATTTGCAAATAAATTTATTATTTAGTATTAAAATAACTCGAAAGTGCTGAGGTTCTTCCGAGTTCCCGAAGCTTTGCTTTGGGTGCAATTGCTCCCTCGCCCACAACATGAGACTTGGTCAAGTCCTCACCCTTTCATATAAATAATTATTTTGGGCAATTTTGAAATTGGTATTGTCAACAAGTGGATAGTGAGCTTCTTAACTTTAGTAGTGAGATGTGCATTAATTTATATAGGCCGTCTTTGTCACATGACTCGTTAGTTCCATTCATTGTATCCAAAAATAAAATAAAATATGCATATCACACCTCTTTTACGCATTTGTATTTTCTATTAAAATAAATAGTTCACACAAATTCCAGGAACCCGACTAATTTCCAACATACAAATAAACTGATTGATAATTAAAATATATAATAATAAAAATAAATTTTAAATTAAACCCATAATGTTTATATATACTTTAGATGCTCAAAATTTCATACCTTCAAATTCGCAGAAGCTACATAGAATATTAAATACTAAACTAAAAGAAGGATTAATTATTAGTGTACACATTTTTTAAGGATAAATTATTTATATTATTACTAATTATTAGTGTACATTAAATATTAAAATAAAAGATGGATTAATTATTGTCCTGATAAATACAATATTATATCATAAGGCGGCTGAGAGTCTAATTAGGTCTGCCTCGTAATTTTCTCGAAAACCCCAGACTATTTATAATCCAACTGGATAAGTGAAGGGTATCTTCGACTTTTCCATATTTGTAAAAGACGACCTAGTCACGTGACGTGCCATGGGCGCCAATGATCTCCGAGTTTATTGGTCCTGCCTATCTTATCCGCAACTACGTGCTCCTCGATCCAGCTTCCACGTCACTATAATTTTTCAGATGTATATCAGCGATCTGGATTTATCTTAACTTGTTCGACATTTAACCTTCATTTCGTCGTTAAATATGTTCGTCACTCCATATGTTCTTCTCTCTATTCTGGCTATCGAGTTCTTTAATGATCATTAGGATACGCAGGATCCGTTAGAACACGACTATCTCCGTTCGTTTTCCGATCAGATGGGGCTTCTTGACCAGTTGTGGGACGATACCGTTGCCGGTCCCCCACCCGATAACGGCCTGGGCAAGCTCCGAAAGCACTCCACTTTCACTTTCCGGCCTAGCTCCGCCAAGGGTACGCTTAGGCCTCCCCTCCATCAATTGCGTTTTATGTTACGCCGATGGTGGTGGTGACACACTTCAACTATATATAAAACAATAATTCCTCACTTAAAGGAATCAATTGTCACTAAAAGTAATTCAAAGTGTTAAGTCGAAGCAAATATAATTTACAAACACAACGAATAACTGTTGCGAATGATTTTTTTTTCTGTATTATTATTATTCGTATAACTTTATTTGATTTGGTGCGGTCTAATGATCAGAATCTGATGGCGGGAGTGTGAGATCGTATGGCGATGAAACGCCGCATGAAGCGACAAGAGTGACGCGTAGTATCATGATCGTAAAGCCGCCTGGTTACCAGACCGGATCACCGCCGGTTTCGCCAGCTGGTTCAACTCCTCCGGTATCGCCTTTTTCCGGTAATATTTTTTTCTCTCTAACTTCCGACTTTGACCCTCATTTATTTCATATATCCGAAACTGTTCCCCGCCTTGAAAGGCGATTAAGTGTCTTGAAAAATCTTCATAAGTGGACTTTAGAAGGGTAGTTATGTCATTTAAGAGCTTTGCGGTAAGTGTGTTTCGTGAATTGGATGGAAGGGATGGAAGTGAGTATTTTATGTGTGGGATGTGAAATCACAAACTTGCCCTCAACATATTATAAAGCTTAGAGAAATATATGGGTTTGGTCCATTTAGGTTCCATATTCATTCATGGTGTATTTATTATTAATATGTTTTTGGCCTTTCATTTCCTTTGCGGGGTACAATGCACAATAATGCAATGTCACGTCAATATCATATATATTAATGATAAAATCATAGCCATGACGCGAGGTTTTATTTCGTGTAGCAGCCTCAACTCTGCCTTATTTATACGATGTTTAGATGTCATTTTTACATAATTGATAAAGCTTTGGATGCATGCGACTTAAACTTAGTGAATTTAGGGTTTCCATGATTCCGTGGATTACAAGGACGGTTAAGATTAAAGGTAGGAAGGTTAGCATAGATGATTCCTACTTTTTGTATTCGTTGTAATTGTACGCATGAATGGAGATTTACAGTTTTGTTAATGTGGATATGGGGTGTTGTTAGGAGGCAGAGAGTCATTTCGATTTCGGAGAAGGTCAATATCGGGGGCGTACGAGAAGGCTAACGAGGTTGGATCAAGGAGCCCTCGTCCTCCTTACGACGTGTGAGATATGAGCCGTCTCCTCATATTTGACAACACTAGTTTTGCTTGTGTACCTTTTGCATGCGTAGTCCTCTTGAACGTTATCTTACTGTACTATGTAGAGAACCATGGTAATGTACTGTAAGATCGAAGTTTGCTACTTGTGTATATAGAGCTTGTGGTCGTCTCCCACCGTCATCATCGTTCGGTTGTTGTCTTGAATCTCGTCGGAATAAGATTTCGGTGCCCCGGTTTCTCCTGCTCATGAATCTTCAAACTGTTTAGAGTGTCTGATTGTGCAGCCTCCATAATAATGGACTTGGATTCCGAATAGGATGGTGTTTGCTAAAGGTCAGAGCAAATAGGGTTCTCAAGTAGTGGTGGGGCTCTACCAAACGATGGTAGTTTAGCCCATGCTAGTTGCCAATTATTTAATATAAGCCCTTTTCAATCAGTTTATTTTACCTTTACCCTCCAAATTTTTTTAATTTGACCCTTCTAATACAATAAAAATTTATAATCATAATCTTAAATTAAACTTGTAATATATATTTTCTTATATATTAATATAAAAATTAGTTATTTAAAATTACACGATAATTATATAAAATATATTAAAAAATTTAAACTAAAAGTTCGAAAAAAATAAATATAGATAAATTTAGTTGTATTGACAAAGATATTATAAAATAGGATCAAATAATTAGAGATCGTTGATAAATCATAAATTAGAATCATAAGAGAGAAATAAATGATTCATAATTGTAAAATAGGCATCTAATTGTTCTACTTATTTTAAGATTTTAAACATTTTTAATTTTATTTTTAATATATATTAAAAAAAATTATATTTATATGTTAACAAAAATGAGTGTAGAAGGATAGATCATCCGTGAAACGTCGGAGGCCCAAAATTTTCTGTAAGCAAATATCCGAAAACCCAAACATTAACCGGAAACTACTTTTTGTTGATTAATTAACATCACATATGTTAATTATAAAAATAAGATTTTCAAGAGTATATATATATATATATATATATATCATTAATAAAATATAATAGAAAAATTATAATTATAATGCATCCAAAGAAAAAATTTAAGACAATAGTCATTAAAAAATTTACATATAAAATAAAAATATTAAAGGTAAACTACAAAATTGGTGATTATCGTCTGAGTTTTATAAATTTTTCTTTACTAAATTCAACATACATAAGATTTATCACTTTCGTTTTGTTTTAATAAAGATGTGGTCAATGAAGGTTAACGGACGTTAAGCCTTTAACGGTTTATTGTCGTGGCATGGTAAATATATAAAATTAAAATTACATCATTTCCATGTAGATAATATATGAATTAAATTTTGGCCACTTTCTCTTCATATTTGTACAATTTTTGTCACCTATGATATTGTTTTATTAAGTTTTTGTCACTTGAAAATAAAATATTCGGAGGGTGCAACATATCGTGTAGTTCGCACGGGTTAACGGTGATTCACAAGGATCTAAAATCAAAAAAATTCATGTTTTGAGCAAAAACAAAGATCCGACGTGATCATGGAATTTGGATTGAGTTCAGTGAATGATTTCACGGATCCACTTATTATGTTTCACCGGAGGAGTTTTTTCAAGGGAAAATCATTACGAAGAGTAATATTCGGTTATCAGATTATTTGGATCTATTGATTTGTCTTCTTGTTCCTTTTTTGATTTGACATTTTGTAGTCTCAATATGAAGAAACATGGAGAATATGAACAATAATGGGGTTGGGAAGAACACCTATTAAAAATGAATAAATTGAAATATTGTCCCTAAATTAAGTTGAATTTACAAAAAAAACCCATAATCAATATTTTTTTCTAAAGTGTAAGTATTGAAATAAAAATTAAACTATTTTACTAATAGGTCACGTGATCAGACTAACAACATTCAACATCCAAGTGACTATAATTTGGTAAAACAATAACTTAAGTGATTAAAACTTAATAAAATAATAATGTAAATGACTAAAAGTGTACAAATATGAAAGGAATGTGACCAAAATTTAATCCATGTTTTATCTACATGGAAATGATGTAATTTTAAGTTTATATATTTATTGTACCACATTAGCAAACCGTTAAAGGTTTAATGTCCGTTAACCTTCAGTGACAATGTCTTAATTAAAACTAAATGAAGATGACAAAATCTTATGTTTTTTTAATTCAATGAGGAAAAATTTATAAAACCCAAACAAAAGTGACCATTTTTTTAGTTTACCAAATATTAATTTCAAATATACGAAAAAAATGAATCATTTTATTAAGATTGATATCCAATATCAAAAGAATCAGCAACCTTCATAAAACTTATTGCCTCTTACGAACGAGACGTTTTACGAAGTGATAAAAGAGTGGTGAGCGAACTAAACGATTTGACAGAGCGTTTCGCTATACAATTCTAATTATATCGCCAAACAATCTTTTAATAAAGATGGAATCCAATAATATGTTATCACCGATAAATCAATCAGAAAACAAATATCGTGAGGATTTTTGTGCAAGCATTAACATAATCATAAAAGTATACATAAAATTTATAAAAAAATAGATATATTTGATTGGTTGATTAAAATAATATAAACAAAGAAGAAACTTATTCTAGTGTATCTATTTGGATTATTTTGTCTTTCATAAATTTGGAGACAAAAAGTAACTCTGGTCGCTTAAGCAAGGGGTCCCTGGTTCGAACCCTTGTGGATGCAGCAAACTTTCTTGGGGGAGGTCCTCACCTTTGTGCCCGACAATACCTCGGGGGATTAGTCTCAGGCAAAGCCTGGGGATACCTTTGGATATACCAAAAAAATAAAAATAAATTTAAATAATGGTTCATATAAAATAAATATTACATAATAAAGACAAATTTGCTTGTAGTACATTTCGGTACATAATAAAGAGAAATTTTTTCGTAGACAAATTTTATATTAGCGTACCACTAATTCATTCATTTTATTTTATATTTAAATAATAAAAACAAATTTTAATTAAATTATATTTTGAGTGTACAAATTTCTAAAAGGACGAACACATAATTTTGTGTTAAGAGTAACGAATTTAAACTTATAAAATTATAGGAGACGAAAATAAATTTTCAATAGAAAATACATAGAAAAAACTTAAAACTATTGCTTCCCTAAAATTGTCTAAGGAAGCTTCCCCGTTTTTGTTGTTAAAAAAAGCCAAGTTGGCCATGGCCAAAAACAACTTTCAGTGGTTTAAATTAATGCACCGATTTTTTTGGTTGAAATTTGGAAAATGGTAAAATCATTTTTAGTCATTATAATTTAGGGTATTTATAAATTAGCTCTTAAGTTTCAACTATAAATACCCTAGCTCATTTAGCTTCAAAACCATCCCAAATCATTTTAGCTTTCTTACAATACTAGAGAGAATTTAGAGAGTTTCTTGAGAGTTGTTTTCTCCTTTTTATCAAAAGAGAATTATCATTGTTTTCTCCTTGGTAGATCGAGAGAGGTTGTAATTCCTATTTTCTCATAGTGAAATTCTTCTACCGTTGCCCGTGGTTTTTACCCTATTTTATTTAGGGGTTTTCCATGTAAATTTTGTGTCTTCTTTATCTTCATTTTTATTTTCTCAAATTATCAGTTGCATTTTTAATCTATCCGATAGCCGTCTTCCGCAACGATTGGTATCCGAGCTAGATTAGAGTGTGTAATATCTGCTTATTGTCTTTGTGGTTGCCACCAAAAGGTGGATCCTCCAACATAAGAAAGTAAGAAGGTATTATCCATTCTTTGAAGGTTCTAGAGAACTATTCACGATAGTGAAATAGTGGGAGCTATCTGTAAAAGAAGCTATGGCAACGAAATTTAATATTGAAAAATTCAATGGGAGAAATTTCTCATTGTGGAAATTGAAGATGAAGGCCATCATGAGGAAAGACGAGTGTCTAGCAGCTATCAGTGAAAGGCCGGTAGATTTCACAGATGACAACAAATGGATCAAAATGGACGGGAATGCTATGGCAAACTTTCATCTAGCATTAGCAGATGAAGTATTGTCAAGCATCGAGGAGAAGAAGACAACTAAAGAGATATAGGATCATCTCACCAAATTGTACGAGGCCACATCGTTGCACAATAAAATTTTCCTTAAGAGGAAATTGTACACTCTCCGTATGCCAAAATCTATTTCAGTGACAGAGCACTTAAATACGCTGAACACTTTATTTTCTCAGCTTACATCCTTAAGCTGTAAAATATGTGAATAAGAACGTGCTGAACTTCTACTTCAAAGTATACAGGATTCGTATGATCAACTCATCATCAACTTGACAAACAGTAATGTCACCAGTCTAGTCTTCGATGATGTTGCAGCTGTTGTTCTACAAGAAGAAAATCGGTGCAAGAACAAGGAAGACAAAAAAGTAAATCTGCAACAAGCAGAAGCGCTGACAACGACGAGAGGGAGATCAACAGAACGTGGCCAAAGCAGCAGTCACAAACATGGTAGATCGAAGTCGAGGAGCAAGAATAATTTAAAGTGCTACAACTCCAATTCACAAGGCAATACCGCAAACACTTCAGATGATGGAGATGCTCTATGCTGTGAAGCCTCAACCACTGTGGAAGGCAGAAAAAGATTTGCAGATATATGGCTCATTGATTCGGGAGTGACATATCACATGACCTCAAGAAAAGAATGGTTCCATCATTATGAACCTATCTTAGGAGGATCTGTGTATAGTTGCGATGATCATGCCTTAGAGATCGTTTGTGTGGGAACCATCAAATTAAAGATGTATGATGGAACAATTAAAGTTGTTCCAGATTTGCGGCACGTGAAAGGCCTGAAGAAAAATTTATTATCCTACGGATTGTTGGATAATAATGCAAGCAAGATTGAAACACGGAAATGAATCATGAAGGTGTTCCGTGGAGCGCTTGTGGTGCTGAAAGGCGAAAAAATAGCAGCAAACTTGTACATGCTGAAGGGAGAGACTTTGCTAGAAGCATAAGCCTCTGTTGCCTCGTGTAGTTCAAATTCTGCAATGCTATGGCATCAGAAACTTGGACACATCTCAGAACAAGGAATGAAAGTCTTTGTGGAGCAAAACCTACTTCAAGGCTTAACAAAGGTAACACTTCCTTTGTGTGACAATTGCATAACAAGTAAGCAGTACCGGTTGAAATTCAACAAATCAAATTCTAGAGGCAAAGTGTTCTAGAATTGGTTCACTCTGATGTATGGCAAGCACCAGTTACATCCCTAGGTGGAGCAAAATACTTTGTCTCATTTATTGATGATTACTCCAGGAGATGTTGGGTGTACCTTATCAAGAAGAAGTCAGACGTGTTTTCAACTTTCAAAAACTTCAAGGCGCGGATGGAACTTGATTTTGGAAATAAGATCAAGTGTTTCAGAATAGATAATTGAGGAGAATACACAAGCGAAGAATTTGATGACTTTTGCAGGAAAGAAGGCATCAAAGACAGTTCACAGTGGCGAACACTCCTCAACAAAATGGAGTGGCAGAGCGGATGAACAGAACCTTGTTAGAAAGAACAAGAGCAATGTTAAGGGATGCAAGCCTAGAAAAATCATTCTGGGCAAAAGCAGTCAATACCGCATGTTATTTGGTGAATCGAGCTCCATCAACTGCAATAGAGCTGATGACACCAATGGAGATGTGGACTGGTAAACCAGCTTATTATTCAAACCTCCATATATTTGGAAGTATTGTGTACGTGATGTATAACTCCCAAGAAATCTCAAAGCTGGATCCAAAATCCAGGAAATTCAAATTCTTGGAGTATGCTGATGGAGTAAAGGGGTATCGCTTGTGGGATCCCACTGCCCGTAAAGTGATCATCAGCATGGATGTCATCTTTGTAGAAGATAAGCTACAAAGAAAAGAAGACGATGATAGCACTGAAAAGTCAGAGACTACACAGATACATGTGGAAAAAGAGGTTGAACAAGGAGATTCTTCTGAAGCAAAACCAGCACATGATGAACAAGAAACAGAGAGTTATGAAGCTCCAACAACTCGTCAATCAGATCGTGTGAAAAGACGTCCCAATTGGCACTCAGATTATGTTATAGAATGTAATATTGCATACTGCCTTTTAACAGAGGATGGTGAGCCATCAACATACCAGGAGGCAATAAACAACTCAGATGCTTCACTGTGGATGATGGCGATGCAAGAAGAAATTGAAGCCCTTCATAAAAGTAATACATGGGACCTTGTGCCACTACCACAAGGAAGTAAGCCAATTGGTAACAAACAGGTCTTCAAAATCAAGCAAAATGGTGACGATCAAGTTGAGAGGTATCGTGCAAGACTGGTGGTCAAAGGATATGCTCAAAAAGAAGGTATTGATTTCAATGAAATATTTTCTCCTTTGGTTCGACTAACAACATTTCGAGTAGTTCTGGAAATGTGTGCTACATTGGACTTACATCTAGAGCAGCTAGATGTTAAAACAGCTTTTCTTCATGGAAATCTTGAAGAAGAAATTTATATGCTCTAGCCTGAAGGTTTTGAAGAAAAAGAAAAGAAGAACTTGGTTTGTAGGTTGAACAAATCTTTGTACGGTCTAAAGCAGGCGCCGAGGTGTTGGTATAAGAGATTTGATTCCTTCATTATGTGCCTTGGATACAACAGACTTAATGCTGACCCTTGTGCTTATTTCAAGAGGTCTGGTGATAACGATTTTGTTATATTGTTGTTGTATGTGGATGACATGTTGGTTGCAGGACCCAACAAGGATCATATTGAAAAATTGAAGGCACAACTGGCTAGGGAATTTGAAATGAAGGACTTGGGATCGACAAACAAGATTCTAGGGATGCAAATTCACCGAGACAGAATTAATAGAAAGATTTGGCTTTCACAAAAGAATTATTTGAAGAAGATCTTATCACGATTCAACATGTAAGATTGTAAGCCAATTTCTACCCCTCTTCCTATTAACTCCAAATTATCCTCCAGTATGAGTCCTAGCAGTTAAGAAGAGAGGATGAAGATGTCTCGAGTACCGTATGCATCAGCAGTGGGAAGTTTAATGTTCGCTATGATATGCACAAGACCAGACATTGCACAAGCAGTGAGAGTGGTTAGTCGGTACATGGCGAATCCAGGCAAAGAGCATTGGAATATAGTAAAAAGGGTCTTGAGATACATTAGAAGGACCTCAAATGTTGCATTATGTTATGGAGGATCAAATTTACTAATCAATGAGTATGTAAATTCTGACTATGCAGGAGATTTGGATAAAAGCAAATCTACTACATGATATGTGTTTAAAGTTGCTGGTGGAGCTGTAAGCTGGGTTTCAAAATTGCAGTCAGTTGTGGCTACATCCACAACAGAAGTAGAATATGTAGCAGTTACACAAGCCAGTAAAGAAGCAATTTGGTTGAAGATGTTATTGGAGGAGCTTGGGCACAATCAAGAGTATGTCTCTATGTTTTGTGACAGTCAAAGTGCCTTGCATCTAGCAAGGAATCCAACATTTCATTCAAGGACAAAGAACATACTAGTTCAATACCATTTCATTCTTGAAAAGGTGGAAGAAGGGACGGTAGATATGCAGAAGATCCATACCAAGGACAACATAGCAGATTTCATGACGAAGGCAATCAACGCTGATAAATTTACCCGGTGTCGATCCTCCTGTGGCCTGTCAGAGACGTAAGCAATATGATGGTTCAAGGTAGAAAGAATGGTGTAAATATATGATTGTTCCAATCAAATCTTCAAGTGGGAGATTGTTGAAAAAAGCCAAGTTGGCCACATGGCCAAAAACAACTTTCGGTGGTTTAAATTAATGCACCGATTTTTTTGGTTGAAATTTGGAAAATGGTAAAATCATTTTTAGTTATTATAATTTAGGGTATTTATAAATTAGTCCTTAAGTTTCAACTATAAATACCCTAGCACATTTAGATTCAAAACCATCCCAAATCATTCTAGCTTTCTTGCAATACTAGAGAGAATTTAGAGAGTTTCTTGAGAGTTGTTTTTTCTTTTTTATCAAGAGAGAATTATTATTGTTTTCTCCTTGGTAGATCGAGAGAGGTTGTAATTCATATTTTCTCATAGTGAAATTCTTCTACAGTTGCCCGTGGTTTTTACCCTATTTTATTTAGGGGTTTTTCACGTAAATTTTGTGTCTTCTTTATCTTCATTTTTATTTTCTCAAATTATCAGTTGCATTTTTACTCTATCCGATAGCCGTCTTCCGAAACATTAGTAGGATGTATGAATATGTGAATTTGCATAAGATTCATCCATTTATAAGCTTCAACCATCTCCTCTTTGTTTCTCTTTTCATTTATACAACAAAAACCTGACCTCAATGCAAAAAAGAAAAAAACTAACAGAACCCTGAATTTTGAAGTTTCCCGTGCCTTGATCAATATCCTTCAGGATCATGGCTGATCAGGGTTTCCTTCTTCGACGACGCTCTCGTGAGGCGATCGACTCGATTGCAGTTCATGTGGACTCAGAGAAAGTGTCTTGATGATCTTCTGAAAACTGTATTGTCGATTAATGTCCGGTTTCGGGAGGCTCTTGCCCTTGTTTAGGCTCCGATTGTGTAGATTTTCCTCAAGCGAATGCATCTCGATGCTTCCTTTCATCAAATGAGCTGAACCTTCTTCCATGGCATCATCTGGTTTTGGTGCAACTGATCTGTTCTTGTACATAACATAGAGGATCAACTGAGCTGAACCCAAGACAAAACCAATAGCATTTGGCACCTGAAATTTTTTGGGAGGGAGTGTGACATATAAATATAGGGATATGATCTCTAAAGATCCTTTAAATATGTACAAAACTTCGAAAAATGTAACCGTACTTATGTAGGATATATATACACGTATATCTGACACTAGTACCTGAACCCGGTGTTGTATAGATGTTTCATGTTTGAGGAGATTAGAGGAAAAGGAAATTTATGAACTTACTCCAATGTAGATGTCCTTCACAAGCACTGCATAAGCAGACCAAACCCCAGCATTGAGGAACAAGAAAAATGAGAGTAAAAATGGCATGTACTCCACACTCTTAGTCTTTATCACTGTCCTCTGTTGGAACATAAAATATTATTCCTTGGAATGCAAGCCCAGATACAACAATGTTGTCCTTTCAAAAATGATGAAAATTCAACACAGATATAGTATCTAGTTATGTAAAACATTTTAGTTTTACATGTTTAAATTGTTGGATGAGTAAAAGTATAAGGTTGAGATTAACGGTAAAAAATTAGAAGATATTCACTGGAAAAATAACTAGAAGTTAATCTCAATCTACTATTTTCACTCATCAAACAATCTTAAATTTATGTAAAACAAAAAAGTTAATCAACCGACTTCAAGGAAAAATGCAGTAATCAAACCAACTGAAGTCGACAGGTTGGTCAACCTACTTAACCGAACAACAAGGAATGCTACTGGATTTTTAGGTGAAGAAACTCACCATGACTGATAAAGGAGCTGCATACATGCCGATGGTTAAAGCAGCACATAAAATTCCAACAAAGGTCATCCTCATGTTCCCATGAATTGCCAACAGAGTCACTGCAATTACTGCTCCAAGGAAACCAACGTCCAATACAGCCACCAACTTTGCTGTCTTAACCTGAAAAAAAGAGGCGTATGCCAGTTGAATTAAGCCTTACTGTTGCGTTAATCATTTTATCAAACGCCTTAAGGGCAAGCACCTTCTTATCTTTGGGAGCATATACGAGGAAGAGAATGACATAGGTAAGCTGAAAGATGGCACCGGCGCCATTGACTGTGATGACAAGTAAACCATCTGGGTTGATAAAGCCATAGAAAGTCCACAAGCTAGTGCTCAAAAGGGTTGTTATGTAGGGAACTCCTTTGTAGTTCTCGGTTGATTTCTTCTTTACCACCCACCAAAAGGTTTTTCTGGAAACGGAAACAAAAACCCAGATTTTATTTTGTCTAAAGTTGGCGGCTTTAGCATACCAGTGGTGAACACGATGGTGACGTCCAACATTGACTTGGTTAATAACATCCTATCGGCATTGATTTAATACACAGTGTTACGTTCACACCATTAAATTTTAAGAAACTTCAATATAGAGCATAACTTTTGCTTTAGATTTAATGAAAGCGTTGATTATTTAAACTGTTAATAGATGGATGATTTGACAGTTTGGTGCAGATATGAACTGCCGTAGAATTTTAGTTTTTTATCTTTTATCAAGTTTATCACTAAATTTTAAAATACGTTAATTTTATGCTTAAACTTTAATTTAAGTATCAATTTGGTTATTATTGGTCAATTTTTGTCATTGTCGATCAATCCTCGTCGTTATTAATTGTTATTGGCAAGAATATCAGTACCAAAGTACTTGCATTTCACTCCTCTATTTTATTTTTATGTGATTTTTTACAAAATTAACTCAAAATCGAGAAAAATATATTTAAACGTTTTAACCTTCTAATCCTCTAGTTTAAGAGTTTTCTCAAATTTGAGGGGTTTGAGTGTTCGTTCAAAAATATAAACGGTGATAAACATCCTTTTGAGAAGACTAACAACATATCACAAAACTAACCTCATCGGACTACCAGAGAAGGAAATCAGAGTATTCATATCATATATCGAACCATTAAATAGACTTTCGTCAATTTAGAGTGAGTTTCGTAAAAAAAAAACTAATTCAAGGATAATAACTAATAGTGGAATATAAACATTTTGACACTGATCTTATCGTCAATGATAATCGATGATGAAAAACAATTGACCGACAACAACAACAATTTGATCGAAAGTGACCAAATTAATATACAAACTAAAATTTATTAACAAAATTGATACATAAAGTAAAATTATATAAAAAAACAATCATGTCATCACATCATTAACGGCCTAATGCTTCCATTGAATGCTAAATTAAAGTTTAATTTTAAAATTAAAACAATTAAAAGTTTAATAGTATAAATAATAAACCATTAAAAGTCCAATATTATCAAACAACATAGCATTAACGACGGTTATAAAATAGACATCTAAAAGTATAACGGAAAAGATGTTAAATATATACTTTTAACAAAAATTCGTTAGACAGCTAAAGCTGACTTAGAGTATAATTTATACATTTATTTTTATATTAAACGTAAAATTAAACTTTAAACTTTTATAAGTTAATTATCCCTAAAATTAATTCAACATACTACACAGTTTCTCATGGGGCAAGAAAATTTTGTTGCAGCTGAGTTAACTTACATGGGAGAAGCAAAAACCAGTATCGAAATGATATTACCTGCAAAAAGATTTTTGAAAGAAAAAAGAATAAAAATCTGAGTTTGAAGAGAGAACAAAAAGATGTTAGAGAAAAGAAGTAAACCGATAATGCCAACGATGAAGCTCAAGCTCAAGCTAGCAGCCATTAAAGCAGAGGTTTAGTTGGCAGGAAATGAAGCAAAATAAATGAGAGTTGGGATATTATGTTCTTCTTCTCTGCGGTGGGTGAATAAGAAAGATGGGTGGTTATAACATCGATCCATCTTCTCTTGACACGTTTTGGTCTCAAATCCTTGTCTACTTTGTACTTTTGTCGGATCTTGTCGACCCTTTTTTTTTTCCTTCGGATTTTAAAGTTTTATCTTAATAATTCGAATCAATCTGTTGATAGTGTGTGGACCATATTTGATAGCGAGTGTTGACAAGCTTTTCATTTCTTCCATTTTTGGGACAGTTCTTCTTTCATTTCCCTTTGAACTAAGTTGATTTCAAACAGACAAAATATTGTGGCGTTCGGTCCAATTGTAAGGTAGGTGTGGGTTATATATCGAAGGTTCAATATCAATCACATATTTGGTTGTCTTAATCTTTTTCTCCTTCGTGGTCAAGGCCAAAGGGTGTCTTAATCTTCCCCACCCCCCTAATTACTCAAAGAATCAAAGTACCCGATTATGAACCCTTGTAATTATCATTATCACTGTCGTCTTCGTATTTGACTTGACACGAGACGTATCGACATTGATATATACATGTGGGGAATAGTTAAAGTGATAAGATCCTAACTTATTTAGATATTTTTTTATTTATAATTTTCGGGTAATGGTAAGGTTCGTTTCACCAAAACTGTCTTCATCACTATTATGCCGACGATGGGTTTTTGTTTATTTTTAAAAACAATGGCGTATTAACATCGCATGTTGTTAAACTATCGTTTCCGATCCATGCCTTTGGTATTTTAGTAGAGGGGAAGTCTATAATTAACATGTCTTTTATCTTCTCATAATTTGATATTATAGATATGAATCTAACCAGTCTTACTAAAATTTTTAAATTTTTAAGAACGTTCAAAATTAAATCATTAATGAAAATATAAAAATATATTTAAATTATATAAGAATTTATTTTTTTAAGATGTAATCATATTCCGAACATTTCCTCAATCCTTCTCTACCCCAAGACCACATGTGTCTAGGAGTAGGTAATCTTCACCGAGAAAGGTCCACCTACCAGCCAAGGCAGAAAGCTACTAGAGAAAAGAACTAAACCAGCAGGGACATAGATGAATAGAGTGAAGAATTTTTCGTTTAATAAATAATTCGGTTCGATTATGTTCACGAATAAATTTATCTATAAAATTATTTATAAATTCGTTTATTTAATTCTCTTTTTTTTTCTTTTACATTTTGAATATTAGTGAAGATATAGACAAAATTCAACACATCATGACTGATTGGAGTTTAAATTGTCAAACGAAAAGAGCTTAAAGATAAATGTCATAATTTCACCATTTTTTTAAATATATAAGCGAAAATAGATATCTTCGTGAGCATATAAACAAAATATGTTCGTGAGTATATAAACAAACATATTCATGAACGTTAAATGAATATATTTATAAACGTTAAACAAACTAAACATAAATATTTTCAAAAGTAATAAACAATCACGAACCGAATATGAATATATACACTTTCGAATAATAAACAAATAAACACGGTCTTATTTGTTTAGGTCCATAGACGGTTCAAAATCAACCCATGTTTCTAATGACACGTTTTGGTCTCAACTCGTTGCCTGCTTTGTACTTTTTTGTCGATTGTGTACACCACCTTCTAGTTAAATAAAAGAAAACATGATTTTTTTTATGTTACCATTCATCTCCCTTCGCGCATAAATAAATTTCAAACAGAAATTATGTGGGGGTTCTGTCCAATTGAATAGTAGGTTTGGGATGTAATAAAGATTCGATATTCGATATCCGTCACAAAATTTAATTATTTTTTAATAATTTAGGGTGATTATAAAATTATATCTGTTTAGAATTTCTTTTAAATTATCAACGACGTATAAACATTTACATACATAATCATTTGAACTTAAAATTTAAAGAAAAAATAATATTCACTTTAAAAACTGACATCACTTGATGAGTTTATCGTAAAAACGATACTAAACGAAGATTCTTTGAAAGCATTTTATTTAACTATAGTTTTCAATCGGGGCAATAATTATCACTATCACCGTTACAATCATGGAAAGAGGACCTTAACATTTTCATGTTCACGTTTTTTTTTCTTTTTTTTATATTCTTAATTTAAGATATAAAAAAGTACCATTTGATATATTGTCATAAAACCTTTTACAAATGATATATATTATGTATCAAACGATATCGTCTAAATATATATGAGATTAATATAAAATAATATTTATTTAAATATTCTCAACTATTAACGATAAATATATATATATATATATATATATATATATATATATATATATGACATTGTGATGTTTACCCGTGATATCAAAGGATAATAACAAGTCTTTTAACTATCGGTTTGTGCGAAATTTAAAAGCTTAACTAATAGAAAAACCAAACATTAAAACTGTCATTTATGTCTTTATTTACAGCTATATGATATGATTGTTTTATGATTCAATCTATAATTTTTATGTTTCTTTCATTCCTCTTTTATTTTAGGTATATTTTTAATTAAATGTAAACCATTGTTCCTCAACCACCATAGAAAGCATGTGTAACTTTAATTTCTCTCTTTTTACAATAATTTTTTTAAAAATTTAATCTCTTAATTTTATTCTTTATTTAATTTGATCTTTCAATTACAATTCTATGTGAATTCCTTATTCTCATCAATTATTTTACTCCTTTATATTAACACTTTGTCTTCAAAATTTATTATTTAAAAAATAAATTATAAATATATTACATAATTGGCATAATAACAAAATTACCCTTAACGGTTGTAGAAATGATCACTTTGTTCTTTATCTTTTTTTAGAGCATTTTACCCTCAATGTTTTATTTTAAAGTAAAATATCCCTGGTTGAATGAAAATAGTTACTTGACTAACAGATAGCGATTCATATTGATGTGACAGATCCTCATGTGATGTCACGTCATCAAAAAGTCATTTTTAAATTATTTAAAAATATATTTTTATAAGTGTATACGTAATTAATAACGATTTCAATTCACTTTAAAAATATTTTTTTCCTGACATGGCATGAACCTACCATGTCAACAGGAAGCATTGATCGTTAGTCAAGTAACGGTTTTCATCCAACTATGGGGTGTTTTATTCCAAAAGAAAAAACGTTAGGGTCCAAGAAAAAAGGGACAAAATGATCATTTGTGCAAACGTTGAGGTAATTTTGTTTTTGTGCCTATATAATTTTAGATGGTATTTAATTTATTAAAACATTACAAGTTTTATTTACACATTTAAAAAAATATATAATTCGTATACGATTAGGAAGAATAGTTTAAATTAAGAACAAATAAATATTATAATATTATAAATAATTACAATTAAATTTAAATATGAATTCAAACAAATATATAAACAAAACTACAAAATCGGTAATTTTTGAATTAATAAAAAAAGTAAAATTTAAATGATAAAATAGTATTCGTCAAATTCAACTAACATAATTAATTTTCACTCAACTCGAACTCGATTCGATTCAATTTAATCTAATATTTAGTCCTATATAGATAAACCAAAGTTCGGAAATAGTTTGAAGTGATAAGGTTGCTAGTTTCGGTTGAACAATATATATGTATGTGTGTCTTATCATCAATCACTCGATGAGTATGTTTTACAAGCCTATATCTAAATATTTTAAAAAACATATATACAAATAATGTGAGATTTGATAATATCATAACGAAAATTTATTGATTTTGAATCGTTAAAATTAATTTTTAATCTTAATCAGACTCGTATCAATATGAAAATGAAAGTGAATTACTTTTTTATAAAATACTCGAGATTCTGATATTCAAAACTGTCTAGTAAAATTTACTTTCAAGAGAATTCCTTAATATATTTTTATATATTCAGGCAATGTATTGAATTAGAGCTCATGTAGAGCTCTGATAAGAAAATATGGAGACTTAAGACTAGGGTAGTCGAGTAGTGTGGGTCACATCATTAGGGTGTATCAACTCTGTCTTCTTTTAATGTCTTTGTAGTAATTTCCATGACTTCTATTTTTTATACGTTTCTGTTATTGGTATTTATGAAGGCTTAGAGCTGTGCTTGTTATCGTTGACTTCTGTGTATCATTCTCTTCATGTTTCCTCTTTTAAATTTAGCCGGGTCTAACGTTACTGTCTATATGCAGAGATTTTTTCGCAGGGTTTTATTTGCAGGGATTACTTCCAATTAAAGACGCGCATAGGATATTAATGACTACATATGAATACTGTTCAACTATGTATTTATGTATTTATTTATACATGCATTGCATTTTTATTTATATTTTTATTTTCTGACTGTCGGAGGTCTTCCACGGAAGCTACTCTCAACCTGACTTTGGGGGCAACCTACTATCCTACCTGCCTTTACCCAATTGCATATGGGAATTGAATTTTGTTGTTATTGTTGTAGAGCAGATTCTCAAAGGCCGATGAAAGACCCATGTAGACGAAGCCCAGTACGAACCCAAGTGCCAATTATCCTCTTCTCTCTCGTTTTGGGTCGTCTTCCAATACCAAAGCCTGTGCGTTGCTGTGTGAATAGTTGTTGCCTTTTCAGATTCTCAACAACTGAAACGCTACACGCAGCGGCAGAGGTTTTTCATTTTTTCTGAGATCCCAAGCTCAGATCCTTCAAAGATCTTCACGCTTCTCATCAGTATGTTCAAAAAGTAAGCGATTTTTCTCTTGGGGGAATGGGTCCTTGGTTAGCTTTTCTTGGTGTTTCATTTTACAACTGCAAAGTTGCAAGTAATCACTGTTCGTTTGTCTGGTTTTTATTATTATTATTGTTTATATGTATATATCTGGGTCTTTGCATGACCATGGATTGGAATTCTTTTGGCTGGGGATTGAAGTAATCGAGAAGAATGGGATTAGTCTAACTGTTTTGTATGAAGGAAACTATTGTTTGATGTAATTTGGTTTTGGAATATATATTCTGGGTTTTGGATTAATGGGCTGCTTTGCAAGTATTTTGATTCTTTATAGGATACTTAGAGCATTGGGAAATAATGGTTGTCCATAGGTGAGTGATTGAGCTCATGTATTTCATGCAAGTATTTTTGTTTGTTAATGCACAAATTAATCAAGTTTTTAATCAATTGCAAGAAGTATAACCATTTCATGCTTAGGGTACTACCAATAGTTCAGTTTGATGTTTGAGTTACATTTTAGAATGCCATTTTCCATATTATGTAATCTCCCCTCTTTTTGCAGATTTTCATCTGAAGATGTGTCTTCACAAAACCAAGTCAAAGCATCTGTGCAGCGAAAAATTCGGCAGAGCATCGCTGAGGAGGTGTGAATCTAGGTTATTTGATTATTTTGTTTCACAAATTGTGATAATAGTTAAATTCTGAAATTAATTTTTTTTCTTGTTTTGGTTAATGTATTGGCGCTTTTGTGCAGTACCCGGGACTTGAGCCTGTCTTGGAGGATTTGCTTCCAAAGAAGGTCCCATTAATTGTTGTGAAATGGTTTGTTGATCTTTCACTATTGCTTTGGCTCTCCTACTTGAGACACTGTGCTAACAGTTTCATTCCTTTGCAGTCAAAACCATTTAAATTTGGTTTTGGTTAATAGTGTTCCACTATTCTTCAATATCCGTGATGGACCGTACATGCCTACTCTCAGACTCCTCCACCAGTGTAAGTATCTCATAATTGGGTTTTCTTCTATTTTGAACCTCATTTATTTGAGTGATGTTCATTTGATTTTATAATTGTTTACTTGGCTCTTGTCAACTACAAAGATATGTGGCTTTCTTAACCATGATAAGCTTTGTTCTCTTCTGTATTGCTTTGTGCTTTACTCTCATGTATCCTATTGTTATGAAAATCCAAATATGACCGTTTTGTATCTTGGTCTTTCAGATCCGAACATAATGAAAAAGTTCCAAGTAGATCGCGGTGCGATAAAATTCGTCCTTGCTGGTGCAAACATAATGTGCCCTGGTCTTACATCCCCTGGTGGTGCTTTGGATGATGAAGTGGAAGCAGAAACTCCTGTGGTATGATTCATCTTCTCTGTCACGGTTTATATGTTTGTTTTACATCTTCCCGATATCTGATTTGTCAACTAATCCTTTCAGGCAATAATGGCTGAAGGAAAACAACATGCTCTCGCTATTGGCTTTACCAAAATGTCAGCTAAAGACATGTGAGTTATTGTCCAGTTGTTTCTGCACAGTTTGATTTTACGGACTGCCAGACTTCAACTTGAAAAGCATAGTGTATTTCTTCCTCCTCCGTTGAAGGACAGTAATGTAGCTAGGAACATGGCATTACTAATTTACTATTCTGTCTGTTCCTTTTTGCCTCCTAGTTATAAAAAAAGGTCCTCTTTTTGTGGTCTAGTTCCGATGGTCCTACATACTTTCTATTTCCCAACTGACAAGCATTTTGGACTACAATGACTGTGTATTCATTTCCGTTTGCAGAAAGGCAATCAACAAGGGAATTGGGGTAGACAACATGCATTACCTTAATGATGGCCTATGGAAGGTATTTATACTTGATCATTTGGTGCTTTGGATGGCATAAAGCATTTTTAATCGTCCGTTTTTCGATTGACAACCATCATAGTTATTGCAAGCAGGCATCTATGATGAACATCCATAAGTCGAACTATTTGATACTTCCATTGAATCCGTCTTTGCATTGCGTTATTTCGCAGATGGAGCGACTAGAATGAACAAACTTGAGTGGGGAACAACTGCAATGCCTGGCATGAAAAAGTTGAGATACTTGAAGAAAGAAGAGGTATATAATTAATGGCTCTTCTTTGGCATTGAAGTGAGTCTAAAATGAGTTTTGAGATATTTGTAAGCAGCTGAAAGAATTGCATGATGAATCTGTTATGTTTGATATATACTCGTACTGTAGAGAAACCTTTTAACTTTCCATATTGTTTCATGCAATTCAAGTTCCCTACAGCAAAAATATCAAATGTATGTATTGGGAAGCAAAATGTGAGGACTTTTGCTTTCTTGCTTGACGAGAATGAGAAGAAAGAAGAGAAGATAAAGAAAAAATAAAGTTGTATACAAAACCCCAAAACTCAGGCCAATAGGTGAGTGATTGAGCTCATACCTTTGTTCAAAGATTTGCAATGATTTAATAACGAATGATCATACCTTTGTTCAAAAATCTCAGTTTAATATTCATTTAAACTAATTTTTAATCCAATTAAATTTAAATTCAACGCAAGGGTCAACGATCGAATGTTGACCAAAAAATTTAGGTCGCTACACGTATTTCTATTTAAATAAATTCGTAAAAATTTTCACTCATCGTTTTTACCTTTTTTTTTTCATTTTTTTTAATAAAATGTATCTTTTAGTAGAAAAACAGGTAAAGAAACTATTATTGTGATACGAAAAGATTTATAAAACACTTTTAGAGTTTTAATTATTTATCTAGTTTTGTATATATTTAGATCATTGGAAGAGATAAAATAAACAATTAAGATTTACTTTTTGTTTTTTTAATAAATATCTTCATACTTTTTACAGTTAATCTCATCGAACGATCTTAAATATGTGTAAAATTTCTATGTAATTGGATCTTATCACCAGCAATAGTTGTTTACAGTTTTATTAGTTTAAACTCGTTATTCAAATTATAGTATAATAGAGGGACTAAAACCATAATATTTCATTACTTATGACACACGTGTAGGGTTGATAAGAAAGAACTACGATCTAAATAATAAAACTCAACCGCACCTAAATAAACACAAACCTCATAAAAAATTCCTTCAAAATTGAAACCCTAACCCCTCGGTGTATCCTCTTGCATTCGCGGCTTAAAGCCAAAAAAAAAAAAAAAAAATCACAAATGGTCTCTCTACTCTCCTCCCAAATTGCCTAATTTTTTTTATTTTCTCTTAACACGAACAACAACAACAAAAGATCCATCTTTTTGCATTGTTCTTTTTTGTTTTTGCTTATGTCTGTTGGTTTTTTTTTGTCTTTGCTTAAACAGGGGATCGATTTAATCGCAGGAGGTAAGAGCAAGAAGACCAAGAGGACAGCTCCTAAATCCGATGATATTTACCTCAAACTCCTCGTCAAGGTCTCACCTTTATCCCCACATAAAAATCCCATCTTTTATTTTCCATTCTTTTAATAAATTTGCTGATGTTTTGTTTTGCGGTTATAGCTTTACCGTTTCCTTGTGAGAAGAACCGGGAGCAAATTCAATGCCGTGATATTGAAACGCTTGTTCATGAGCAAAGTGAACAAGCCTCCACTATCTTTGTCTAGACTAGTTCAGTTCATGAATGGAAAGGTATTTTTTTAACTTATGGGATTTTTAGGGTTTTTAAATTGCTGTTGAGTTTTGGGTTTAATTCATCGTTTTTGTATGTATAACTGACTTGTAGGAGGGCAAGATTGGTGTGGTAGTGGGCACAGTGACAGATGATATTAGGGTTTATGAGGTTCCCACTTTGAAGGTTACTGCTCTTAGGTTTACAGAGACTGCTAGAGCTAGGATCGAGAAGGCTGGTGGTGAATGCTTGACTTTTGATCAGCTTGCTTTGAGGGCTCCCTTGGGACAAAACACGGTATTTGATCTCTTCTTCCGTTTGTTTTTGTTGCTTCATGTTATTGGTTGGAGTCTCTTTTTGTTTCGAATGAATGTATGTTGATTTGTTTATTGGTTGGATTGGTGTTTTTAAGTCATGCTTTCGTTGAAATCTCATTTCTACTTTGTTCATCTTTTGTCGAAACTCGTTGAAATTGGTATGGGGATGTTTGTTTCATTCACTATTTGAATAAGGATTGTGATGTTTTATTTGGAACTAATGTGCTCAAACACCTGTTTACAATGCGAATTTATCAATGATTCTGTAATTCCGTATGTTTGAGATTGAGACCATAATGTTAATATCCCTCATTCTATTGCGACAAGAAACCTTTTCTTATGTAACCTTGTATAGGAAGCTAATCCAATCAGTGTCTTGCCTTAAGCCTGTTCTTTTGCGCTCTTCCGCTAATTCTTGTATTCTGAAAGAAGAAACTGTTGGTTGAATATCCTATTTACATTGGGCTGAATTGCAGGTTCTCCTCCGAGGTCCGAAAAATTCCCGTGAAGCGGTTAAACACTTTGGTCCCGCACCCGGGGTTCCTCACAGCCACACCAAACCATACGTGCGTGCAAAGGGAAGGAAGTTCGAGAGGGCTAGAGGAAGGAGGAACAGCAAGGGGTTCAGGGTTTAAGACTAGTTATCTTGAGGCTTTCTATCATTTAGGGATTCTATGGCAGATGATTTGCTTGCTTTATTCATGGATTGTTTAATAACTTGTTTGAGGATGAATCTTTCTTATATTACAAAGTGTTTCATTGTTTAAGCACTTTAATGTTTTCAACATGGAATTTCTTGTCTGAATATGATGCACTTTAACAATTGAAGACCAAACTTCATAGAATTTAGACATAATACCAATATTAGCACTCCAATCCTCCAATGTCTATCAAAATGGTCATTTTGGCCCGAATATTTTTGAAACATTTTGCCTCCAACATTTCATTTTAGAAGAAAAATGCCTCTTAACATTTGATTGAATATTTATTTTTGCCTTTTTTTAGCATTTTGATTAAAATGTTGCAGGAAAAAAAGCCAAAATATCATTTTAGTGAACGTCAGGTTGCATCATGAGTAGACTCTAATAGGTCGAATTCTTCTATTAGCCCCTTTAGTATGTGAAAGTTGTAGATTTAGTCATTCTACTTTGATTTGCACATTTTTAGTCCTTTTACTGTTGAAGTTGTAGTTTTGATCATTTAAAACCTCTGTAGTGTCATTATTCTTTCACTATTCATGCATGTACCATGGATTAATGATAAAATTCTTACAATTCTAATATCAATAAAACATCAAAGAGAGAACAAAGCATGCATTCTTCAGCTTACACATAAACAAAGCAGAATCAGATCTTTTTGATGAAATCAAGAATGTGAGAGTTAATCTCATCAGCCCTTTCTTGGTTGATGAAATGACCAACACCTTCCATGACCACAACTTCATCCAACAAGGGTACATCTCCTTTGAAGCCACCACTCTCTACATATTTCTTCATCCCTGGTGTGGTATAAACACAGTCAATATCCCCCACAATGAACTTCACTGGCACTTTCACTTGTGTACCACTCCATGCTGCTGTCAATTCCCAGTTTCTGCAATTTAACAGATAGAAATTAGGCCAAAGATCAGAAGACCATAATTCATTCAAAATCGAATTTCCAGGTAAAAGAACATACAAATCCAAAGCTCTGTAGTAGTTTAAAGCACCAGTGAAGCCCTTTTGATTGAACTTGTTGGTGTAGAAAGTAAGATCTTCTTGTGAGAACCATGGTGGTAAGGCAATTGGGGTATCTGGTTTGATACCAAAAGCATTGTCTCTAGGCAAGCAAGGTGGACCTGGTTTTCGACTAGAAATGATGCTCTTTAGCACGTTTGAAGTTCCATAATGAGCTATTTCTGCTTCGATCTTTCCAGGTTCCTACAATAAAGTTTCGATGAAATCATTTGGACCAAGTAATAATATTATAAGAGAAGAGGGACCAAAGAAAAAAAAACCTGAAATCTGCAAATATAGTAATCATCTCCAAAGAAAAGCCTCATGCTCTCAACAGGCTTCAATGATTTCCTCGGCATGAATGGGACGCTGAGGCTGACGAAAGCCTTTACTCGATCGGGACGGAACAAGCAAAGGTACCATCCAAAAAAGGCGCCCCAATCATGAGCCACCAAAAACACTCGTTCCACTCCGAGAGAGTCGACGAGTGCAACGAGGTCGCCGACAATGTGCATGCAAGAGTAGCTGGTAATCGACGGGGGAGCCTCGGTGTCGCCATAGCCACGGAGGTCCGGTGCGACGGTGCGGTAACCGAGTGAGCTTAGAGCAAGAATCTGATGCCTCCAAGTGTACCAGAGTTCGGGGAAGCCGTGAAGGAAGAGGATGACCGGACCTTTACCTTTCTCGGCTACGTGCATGGTTATGCCATTCACATTCACCAGTCTGTGATGTATTCCTTCCATTTTCTCTTGCTTTCTGCCCTCGTCTTCCCCTTGTGGTTCTTTATGTATGTGAAATTTGATGATGACGAGTGCTTTGATATAAAGGCAAAAGCAGTGGGTTTACATGCATGTAATTAAAAAACAAAAGGGTTTCAATTTTCAAAAGTAGTGTATTAACTGATACGAAATGTATACAGGAGCTTTGAATGTGGCACAAGAATCGAAACCCGTTGGTTTCATTTAAACAAACTTGCTTTGCGACACAGAAACAGGCAGCCATTAAGGGAATCAAACGCTTAAAACCCACCGCCCTTTGCATGACAGCCACCAGGAGTTATATCCATTATCCAGTAACCGGAGTAGAAAATTTCCGGTTTAAAGCTGCAAAAAGTATTTAATTTTAAAAAAATTATTTAAAGGTGTAAAAGTATCAATACTATAATTTATGTACTATACGGCAATCTACGATACTTACGTAAATGATAATTTGATAAAAAAAAAAGATTAACTAAAACTTTTACAAAGTTTAAGGCTTTAATTAAAAAATAATGATATAAATTTACAGCTAAATAGTAATAACTTCTATCTTGGATTTTAAATTTTAATTTTTTTATATCGATTACATTTTATAAATAGTAATGACTTGTGAAAAAATGATTGAAATATTTTTATTAAAAAAGAAAATATAATTTTGATAGATGAATCTTTCGACTGAATTTTTTACATATACAAGGACTCAAAATATTTATCACTTAAACCAACCATATCAATAAATAAGTTCAATTTTTAATACTTCATAATTTTCAAATTTTTCTTAGATAATTTCCTAAAAAAATTAAATAAAAATATTTTGAAAATACTTTTCAATAAACTTCTACCATTTTTTGAGTATTTTAATATTTTAAATAATTTATTAATTTACTCTTTCATTTAATTTTTATTTTAAAAGAAACAATTAGACTCCTCTATTTTATCTTCATTCATGTATATATTATTATATCAACACACTGGACTATGATATTAATATTATAATAATTAGATAATTTTTGTCAATAAAAAAATATATTTACTTTTTTTAATAAAAATATTTCAATCATTTTTCACAAGTCATTTTCAGGCTCAGTTAATCATTTCACATGAGAAATAATATTAATACTGAACAGCATCCCGCAACTAAAAGCTACCATTTCTTACTAAATTCTAAACAGTAAAAGCGCAATTAAACATATTTAACCTTTTTATTATTTTTACGATCAGAACCCATGAAATCTTGCTCGGGCCAAATAAAAGCACCCACACCCTCATTGTACACACAAACTTGAAATATAAACCCAGAAAACTCAAAATGTAATCCAATAACATCGGAGCAATTCTCCATTAAAAGCGGTGAGAAGGCTCAGCATCAAAAAATTGTCTAAATGAACAGATAAAAATCCTGGGAACCATTCACCGAGACAGTGGGTTCCAAGAACAACAACGTGCGAACCGGACCTAATTGAAATCATTGAGAAACCAAGAGTCCAAGACAGATAACACGAGTAAATATATATTGCCATGTCAAAATGATGTGATGACAAAGCATACCGGATACGATCACTTGAAGTCAATGTACAAAATAAAGCATCAAATCCATAAAACACAACACTGAAACTTGTGAAGTTACTAATATTCTACATTTCCCTTAGGATTGAAAACTTGACACATAGTGACTTCAAGCATGATTACCTTATCCTCAGCAAGATGACAAGACTTCTTAATACAGGTTGAACTTCAGCTCCACCTAGTCAATCAAAACTAGCATTTAGGAACTTCAACAATTCGTTTCTTTTACTCTCGGCCTCTTTGTCTTCCTTTGACTTGTCAAGTTTCAAGAGAATCTAAAAACAATGAGACGAGCAATAGCAAAGTAAGAACCATCACAAGTGCCTATTTCAGAACTTCTGAACCATAAATTGAGACCCTAAACCATTTTGTCTATCTCTAACATAAACAAGATAGACTAACCTTTTTACCAGACACAGCACTACGCGGTGCACCATCATCCTTGTTACGCCCAAGAAACTGTATAAAGGATTAGAAGTTAGCATGAGTGAGTGTAACCAAGTGAGGGGATAATATCATGAACCACTAGACGGCAATGAATTACCTTGGAAAGCTGCACAGGACCGCTACTTCCATCTTCTTTCTGTTTCTATATGTAGCTCCGATTGCCAGGACAAACCCGACCCAGAAAAACAATCCAAGTCAATTGCACCCAATTATCATGTCACGGGCCACAGCTCCAATTTCAAGAGCCAATCCATAGAACAAGCAAAAAGTATTATAAGCACCCCTCGGAAATGTCTAGTTAAAAGTATTTTAAAAATAATGAAAGTTGGAAAATTTGCTCGACATCCATAAGATGGAACTACTGAAACTAATATTAGAACTTCTGCCACTTTCCTGGCTGATGCTAATTGAAGAAAAGCAAACTTGGTTTAAGTATACATGTCTCATTTGTGCAAAGGCAAACAATGAACCATGAAAGATATTGAAAATAATAACAAAAACCAAGCTCCTGATGAACAGCCAGCAAATAAGGATAACCTAGCAACACTAAGCCACTAGACTCAAACTTGATACCATGTTAAACATAATACACATAAAATCATTGAGTCTCTTGGGTTATAATTTCATGATAGCAGGCACTCAATCTCAGGTTGTTTAAGCATCAACGCTACACATCTATGTTAGTTGGACTCTACTGGGGCTAAAGAATCCAGGGTATGAGCCAAACATAAAAATGATCAATTCTTTCTAAGTTTCCGTGTATATTTGAGGGGTCTGGGTCATATCCATTCCTATATATCTAGATTTGTATTGGAGATTTGCATCAGACATGATATTCTATGAGAAGATTTAAAACAACATAGGGACATGCATTGTAAATAGTGGAATACCTCTTTCAGTTTGTACTTTTGACGTTTATGCCGATGACTCTTGCTCTGCCCTTTTTCCTTTGACTAAAAGGCAAAAGGATAACAATAAAGTAAGCCATAGGGGTGACTGCATTAAAATGAGGAAGAAAATGTTGAACCAAAACTAAACCTTCTTTTGCCTGTCACTTTTCTTGTGCCTCTTTGAATGGCTGGACTCATGATCACTATCCGATGAACTGTCACCCCTGCAACAATTTAGCAGTCCTAAAATGTTAGACCAAGTCTACATGTCAGGGTTACTTGTCTGTAAAATACTAAATAACCAAATAGTTACACGTAATTTCTACACCTTCATTGTAACACATAAAAGTATTAGAACAAAAACTATAAAATGAAAAAAAATATTGATGAAGGCAAATTGCTCTTGCTCAGTTACCAGTCATTCAGTGTCGAAAAGCAAGAAATATGAACATGGATTTAAGCTTCAGACGACACAATTTTGCATTTCCTTATGTTTAATCGTTAGTGAACTACATACAACAAATTCCATTTAAATAAAATGTTTGATAAAACAAATCAACCCATTGTACCATAAAAACAAAAATTATCTAAGGCATAGGCAACGAGCTTGCTAGATATACATCATAAGCTATAATTTAGATTCATTTTAAGCTTTCATCCCCGGCTTATATCATTACAATCCAAATATTCAATCTTACTCAAACCGGCAAAAAAATACAAGTTAGAAATGGTATTAAAATATACATTACAATCGTAACATAGAAAACGAAAAATCCGTGATAACGTTTCACCGAAGAACAACTCCAACGAAATTTCCAGATTAAAGACTTAATAAAATCTTAATTAATTCGCCTAACAGGTAACCTTAAACACCAATTAGTTAACAAAAGAAATAATTTCTTTTTTACCTGGAGGAATCAGAGTCAGACGAAGAGTAAGAATCAGAAGAGTGACGGCGATGCTTCCTACGACGCCGTTTACCTATCGAACGGCTTTTCTTTCGGATTTTGAGAGAATCTCTGTCTCTATCGCGTCGGTGGGTGCGATGACGGCGTTTTTTGGCCCGTGAGGAAGACGAATCGGACAAGGAATCCGAGGAACTATAGGAAGTAGCCGAAGAAGACGATGCCGCCATATGCCAACCAAAAAGAGTTTTTCTTTACCCTCTTTTTGATCTGAGATTTGGGAGAGGTGGCGGCTGAGGGCGGCCTTTTATAACCTAATTCTACTTATGATTATATCAAATTTTTTTATTAATTTGGATAAATACAAGCATTGTATATTTAAAGATACTCTGGTAATTATTATTATTTTATCACGAATGTCACTTGGTTTGTACATTTATTTTTTCCATAGTTTTCTCTTATTAGTACGATGTTCATCTATTTTTCTTTTCATCTTTGTTAGTCAGTGATGACATCAATTTTAATGTTGATTGCATACCGTTGATATTCTTTATTGTCATCTTATTTTATTTTATCACATCTTTATTTATTTATTTTATAAGACTAGTAGTATGACACATTTTTATTTACCTTTATGGCATTTTTTCCTGTATTTTATCACGTTTTTCATTTATTTTGTTATTGTTTTCAGTTATTTTTTTTAAGAGTTAATTTGATATCGTTATGACTGATCAAGATGACGCTTGTCCGTTTTATTATTGATATTTTATGTTTTGGACCCTCAGATTGGATTTTGATACCCTTTATGCGTTCGTGAATAGTTTTTTATGTCGTTCGATTCTAATTTGCAAGGTATTTTAATAGTTTGACCCTCTTTTGTGGTTCATTTACGGATGCGATCAGATTTGTTCATATCTATTTTTTTTTCATATCTATTTTTGTTCGAATTTCTTAGTTGGTTTTAATATTTCTTTTTATGGTCCTTATGTGATCTTAAATTATTAAATTTGTTTCAATAATTATAAGAAACTATCTTAATTATGTGATTAATTTATTATTAGTATTATATCTCTTCATTATAATTAGAAATGGATCACTTGCAATGCTATTAAAAGGGAAGTTGAAAAGAGATGTCCCCAGGGCACTTCAATTCGGAAGTTGGAAAGAAATATTTACTAATATTTTTCTATTAATAGAAAATTTATGAACAATCCATTTTTTTCCTAGCTATAGATATAGTTATATTATAATGACTAAAAATAATCTTTTACATATTCACCTCATAAAATTATATTTTTAAATAGAAATAATATCTAATTATGTAATGTAAAATTAAAAATAATTTTATATTAAATTTAAAATAATTAAATGATTTAAAATAGACGGTTGAAAATAAGAAGATATTTAGTTATAGAGAACTGTTGTCTTTTTTGTCTAGATTATTGTAACAACAATTGTATCTATCGAGTTAATATTAAATCGGCCATCGTTCTTCTTGTTGCACGTCTACTGTATCGTTGTTAAAAAGTCCTGGGGCATACGGCACGCTTCTATCCTTTATCCATGAATCAACCCCATCAAAGAAGGCCCTCGGAGCGAATTCACGTGCACTCTCCGTCGTAATTTTCTTAATTCCGGGCCATTTAACACGAGCCGTCGTGCTCGAACCAGGGCCATTGTTGTTGAACTCCGAGTAGAAACAAGTGTTTATCCCCCATAGACCATCCCATACCGTCCACCCTTCCGGGGTAATCAAATCATCTAGGTAAGATTCCATGACGATCGTCCTCGCGAATTTCCCCCACGGACGGCCTAGGTACGTACGGTACCTGTTCTTCACACGGACTAGTTCTGGAGCAGCCGTGAATGTCGAGTTTTGGATGACGATAGCCGTTGGTTGTCGAGCGTCGTATCGAGCTTGCGCGGTAACGGTGGCTTGTTGTCCATCTAATGGCTTTCGGACGAGGAATGTGCAGTTTTGGAAAACCACGGCCGCGTCACCGATAACAAAATCGACTGTCCCGGTAACGGTGCAATCGCGGTAGAATTGGCGTTTGCTGTGGACGTAAAGTGTGTCCTGATAACCATCCATCGAGCAGTTGTAGAAGACGGCATAATCGGATGTCACCATCAACGCCACAGCTTGTAATTTGGCTGGCCCAGCCGAGTTCTCGAATCCGATGTTCTTGACAAAGAACTTATCCCCATTAACAGCTACATCAATTGGACTATCATTTTGTTAGAAACAAAACATATGTATGTATGTACATGTAAATGCATAATCTGAGACCGTACCTACTGTAGCAGTCCTGAAGGTGGGAATGCCAACCGCATTGTTCCGGCAACCGGTAATTCGTGTTTTCTCTTTACCGTCTCCAATTAACACCACATTTGTCATCCTATAACCGAATTCGATATTCTCTTTATAAATTCCTTCCTTGATATATATCACAAAAGGCTTAGGAGAATTAAGGGGTATGCGACTCATTGCACCTTTAATGGTATTGAAGGTTCCACTACCGTCCTTGGCCACAACAACGTCAGCTTTGTCCACTTCGAGTCGACGACGGCTGAAGACGTTCTCTAAAGTCGTACCCAAATCGGAATTGTTATGTCCGCCAGTAACGGGAACTTCATAATCGCCGAGTAGGCGTCGGCGTACGCCGCCTTGAAAGTCGGCTAGACCACTTATTATGGCAAGGCCATCTATGCTTAGTTCTATGGGAATAGTCAATGCCTTCTTCATTGTTTCCCCAGGGTCACCGGTTATATTCCTGAATCCTTCTAAGCAAGTAATTTGGTTGGTGATTGTAGCACTCAACCAAATCCTCAAGTCAGCCAGCATTTTATCGATCCTTGTAAGTCCGAACTTGTCGAATTTGTAGAACGATTTCTGTAGTTCGTATACCGAATACCTCGTTAGTTGTCTGCATATATCCAATGCTTGCTTCGACCTCGGATCTTTTTGAATGTCTCTCAACGTAGTCGAATTCTCAGAGGCTCGACGCAAGTACTTGATCGTGGCAGTGAACGCCGCCTGGACGAGTTCTTTGAAGTCCGTCGTATTGCCGGCCACGGCCAGGACTTCCTCTACGCACGTTCTCTTGAATTCCGTCGGTTGGCAGATGGCCCGAATCGCCTTCATTGAAGGATCCTTGTGATCATCTTTATCCCCTACGTTATTTTCATCATCGTCGCTACTACGGCTGATTCTAATGCAGACCAAAACCACGATCGCCATCGACACCAACATGACGAAACAAAGTTTGAGGACGCCGTTTCTCTTATTCTTCTCCGGATCATCCGACGACGACATTTCCGGAAGATGTTAATCTATGAAAAGCAATTGGAAAAGAGAAATAACATACAATTTTCCTATACAATCATGAAGTCCCCCAATTAGGCAGGCAACAAGAGCTGCCCTATGCAAAGAGAGGCAACAGATTTTGGATTAAAATGTGTTTTAAAAAGGAAACCCTAAATTGTATTATGAACGAAAGGAGGTTGAATTGTTTAGATTTTTGCTTCAAAAGATGATGTTTGGAAAGAAAATTGCTAAAATTTTTGCCTGAAATGAGAGGGTAAAGAGCAATGTAAATAACATGAGCACCTGTCAATTTTTAGTCGATCAACAACCTAAAAACAAGTACACTAACATATGTCCGGTTCATATAATAAAATTATTAATTAATTATACTATTTATATTAATGTATTATTAGTATTTTTGATTCCATTTTTTTAAATACATTATACTCTTTAAGCTTTTTTATGATTTTTTTTTTGGGTTACGAAAGGGGCCGCTATGTTAGCAGTGTCTTAATCTTCTTCTCAACGCAGCCATATCAGTGGTGCCAAGACTTTGGGTTTCATCTGGTGATTTCTGCAGAATCGAGAGTCCCATATTCTCATTATGTCCAAGGCGAGCCAAAGCATCAGTTACATCAATTGCTTTCCGGAATATACAAACAACCTTGATATTCCATTGAGTAGTTTTGGATCATTCAGATCGTATTGTGTTTATCGTGATTGTGAATATAACCGATACTATTGTGGTATCACAATCAAAATCTTTTTCTAAAGGAATTATATTTTGAAAAATAAAAAATAAAATAGTAGAACAATAGTAGAATAGTGGTTGGCTATTGTCACGGTTGGCCATTACGTTAAATTGCGGCCATGTCCATCATTATTGGTGTGATCCTGCTTCACACCGCTATTTTCCATAATAACAGTATTAGCTGCCGCCACAACTACTATATAACGGCTGTTATTTTACTATTTGACCGCTGTTTGAATCTCTACTTCGGATGATTGACGACTCATACAGTTGATCAGGAGAATTGAGAATCCTCACAATCTCGCCATTGTTCATATATGTAGCACCTGACTTCTTCAAGCTCTTCATTTTTGCCAACAAGCTCCTTGTTGTAGTTATCCTTGTCATTTAAGCATCTCCACTCCACTTTTCGTTTTAACGGTTAGAGACTCATTTTTCATTTTAACTATTGAAACTCATCATTACGGATGGTAAATGGACGGAGAGGATGCGGATACCTCTCATATTCATTTCCACCTAATATTTTCATATTCGCCATCTACACATCGCCTATGACGGGTAAATTTTTTAAATCCACCTACTCAATTGAATATTCTCCACTCATCCCGTGCCCTCCTATACCCATACATACCCAGTATTTTGAGATAAAAAAACGACTATATTCAATTCTAACAATGTTTATAGCTTAACATTTGATTAAATTATAAGTTATGTCTTATAAAATCTTAAGATTTAAAGACAACAAGTACGTCGGTTAACATTTCAACCACGTTAGATGTTTCAATCTATTTCTCAAAAAAATCAAATTCTTTGACCAACTTCCTGGTGAGTTATTCATTTCACCCTACTTTATTTTAGGATAAACTACAAGTTTAGTATCTTAACTATTAGTTATAGTCTATTTTAGTATTTTAATTTTTAATTTTTTTAAAATCATACCTAAAGTTTAGTTTTTGTTTCATTTTAGTATCCGTTCAAAATTTAACGTTAACTTTTGAATTTTTTTAAAGTTTAGGTACTAAAATTGATAGTTTAGGTACTAAACATGTTAAGTTTTTAACAACATTGTACTAAAATGAAATAAAAACTAAAAACTTTAGATATGGTTTTAAAATAATGAAAGTTTAGATATTGAAATGGACCAAAGTTGATAATTTATGTATTAAATGCATAGTTTACCCTTTTTCAATATCCCATCTAAACCATTACCATCCTAGCAATTTCGTCAATATTATCATCTAAAAAATACATTAAAATATATAATTAAAATATTTAAAAATTAAATCACAAATTAATATAGTTTAATAATCAATAAATAGAACATGCTTATGTCAAATCTGTTCCCAGATTAAAAAAATAGAAGAAACAAATTTAAGAACAAAGTTGAAAATTTAATTTAATTAAAGGGTCTACAAAAAAATCAAAACAAATCCCATTAAAAGGAACTCCAATTGCAGGCAATCAGCACTCACCATCTATGAACTTGGACACAGTGAATCCATCAGCCTCACTCTCACTTATATCCCTATGGTAACTACCCCATTGGACTCTGGAAGCCGTGTTCGAACCCGGACCCTTATTATCGTATTTGGCATAGTAAAGAGTGTCCAATGCAAAATTCCCGTCAGATTCACTCCAACCAGATGGTTCAATCAAACTATCCATGAAACTCTGCATGTAAACCGTCCTCGAATACTCTTCCACTGCCTCCCAAGGTACGTCTTCGTCTTGCCGATGCTCGAGGCGAGGTCGGAGGCGGGTTTAATGGCACATTTGTGGATTGAAATGCCTGTGTTTTGGTTGGGATCGGTTCTGCCTTGTGCTGTGATGGTGTTGAATTGGTTTGGCATAAGCAGCTGAGGGTATATGTTGCAGTTCTGGAGGACCATGGCCGCGTTACCGAATATGAAATCGATCGTGCCGTAAATGTCGCATCCTTTGTAGAATTGCCCGAGAGAGTGCGCGTATAATGTGTCTTTGTTAAAAGTTGGCAGCATTAGTCAACATAATGGGGGTGGCAATTTGACATCATTAATGGGCGGCTAAATTGGTCAAATATTGGCCACCAAATTGTTGAAAAAGTTAAATGGAATAATCACAATTTAGTCATTGAACTTATGGGTATTTATAAGATTAGTCCTTAAGCTTCAACTATAAATACCCTACCTCATTTAGCTTCAAAACCATCCCAAAGCATTTTAGCTTTCTTTCAATACTAGAGAGAATTTAGAGAGTTTCTTAAGAGTTGTTTTCTATTTTTTATCAAGAGAGAATTATCATTGTTTTCTCCTTGGTAGATCGAGAGAAGTTGTAATTCCTATTTTCTCATAGTGAAATTATTCTACCGTTGCCCGTGGTTTTTACCCTATATTATTTATGAGTTTTCCACGTAAATTTTGTGTCTCTTTTATCTTCATTTTTATTTTCTCAAATTATCAGTTGTGATTTTTGCTCTATCCGATAGCCGTCTTTCGCAACAATTGGTATTCGAGCTAGATTAAAGTGTGTAATATCTACTTATTGTCTTTGTGGTTGCCACCAAAAGGTGGATCATCCAACATAAGAAAGTAAGAAGTTATTACCCATTCTTTGAAGGTTCTAGAGAAATATTCACGTTAGTGAAATAGTGGGAGCTATCTGTAAAAGAAGCTATGGCAACGAAATTTGATATTGAAAAATTCAATGGGAGAAATTTCTCATTGTGGAAATTGAATATGAAAGCCATCCTGAGAAAAGACGGTTGTCTACCAGCTATCAGTGAAAGGCCGTTAGATTTCACAGATGACAACAAATGGATCGAAATAGACGGGAATGATATGACAAACTTTCATCTAGCATTAGCAGATGAAGTATTGTCAAGCATCGAGGAGAAGAAGACAACTAATGAGATATGGTATCATCTCACCAAATTGTACGAGGCCACATCGCTTCACAATAAAATTTTCCTTAAGAGAAAATTGTACACTCTCCGTATGCCAGAATCTACTTCAGTGACGGAGCAGTTAAATACACTGAACACTTTATTTTCTCAGCTTACATCCTTAAGCTGTAAAATAGGAGAACAAGAACGTGCTGAACTTCTACTTCAAAGTCTACCAGATTCGTATGATCAACTCATCATCAACTTGACAAACAGTAATGTCACTAGTCTAGTCTTCGATGACGTTGCAGCTGCTGTTCTACAAGAAGAAAATCGGTGCAAGAACAAGGAAAACAGACAAGTAAATCTGCAACAAGCAGAAGCATTGACAACGGTGACAACGATGAGAGGGAGATCAATAGAACGTGGCCAAAGCAGCAGTCACAAACATGGTAGATCGAAGTCGAGGAGCAAGAAGAATTTAAAATGCTACAACTGTGGAAAGAAGGGTCACTTGAAGAAGGATTGTTGGAGTCTAAATAAAAACTCCAATCCACAAGGCAATAACGCAAACACTTCAGATGATGGAGATGCTCTATGCTATGAAGCGTCAACCACCGTGGAAGGCAGAAAAAGATTTGTAGATATATGACTCATTGATTCAGGAGCAACATATCACATGACCTTAAGAAGAGAATGGTTCCATCATTATGAACCTGTCTCAGGAGGATCTGTGTATAGTTGCAATGATCATACCTTAGAGATCATTGGCGTGAGAACCATCAAATTGAAGATGTACGATTAAACAATTAAAGTTGTTCGAGATGTGTGGCACGTGAAAGGCCTAAAGAAAAATTTATTATCCTACGGATTGTTGGATAATAATACAAGCAAGATTGAAACACGAAAAGGAATCATGAAGGTGTTCCGTGGAGCGCTGGTGGTGTTGAAAGGCGAAAAGATAGTTGCAAACTTGTACATGCTGAAGGGAGAGACTTTGCTAGAAGTAGAAGCCTCTGTTGCCTCATGTAGTTCAGATTCTGCAATGCTATGTCATCAGAAACTTGGACACATGTCAAAACAAGGAATGAAAGTTATTGTGGAGCAAAAGCTACTTCCAGGCTTAACAAAGGTAATACTTCCTTTGTGTGAGCATTGCATAACAAGTAAGCAGCACCGATTGAAATTCAACACGTCAAATTCTAGAGGCAAAAGTGTTCTAGAATTGGTTCATTCTGACGTATGGCAAGCACCCGTTACATCCCTAGGTGGAGCAAAATATTTTGTCTCATTTATTGATGATTACTCCAGGAGATGTTGGGTGTACCCTATTAAAAAGAAGTCATATGTGTTTTCAACTTTCAAAAACTTCAAAGCGCGGGTGGAACTTGATTATGGAAATAAGATCAAGTGTTTCAGAATAGATAATGGAGGAGAATACACAAGAGAAGAATTTGATGACTTTTGCATGAAAGAAGGCATCAAAAGACATTTCACAGTGGCGAACACTCCTCAACAAAATGGAGTGGCAGAGCGGATGAACATAACCTTGTTAGAAAGAACAAGAGC